ATGTAGGTCAACTGAAGCGCTTACCATAATTATGTCATTCATGCAAGCCATAGCAAAGGCAACCCGTTTAGCATTGCGTCCATTAATTGTTGGAAAATTGCTGGAGTACAATTAATTCAATGGAACAATGGTTTATTACAAGTAAAAAAGCAGTGTTCAACAGGTACCATGGGATGAAAATTATTGCGAAAATTAAAGTGCATGATAAAGCAATTTGGTGGACTCACCATAGACTTATGTAGGATGGCGGAGATGTTCGCGTATTAAAAGTATAATTCCATAAAGCAATTCTTTGGGAGTTTGGCAAGACACAGTTTGATTGCGTTTTATAGCCCCTGGCTAACAAGTCATAAAATGAAATGTAAATGAGACAACGCATCGTCAAGCCGTTTTTTAAATATCGCCAGATTGGGAGCAGAGACAACATAATTAAGAAGGGCGTTCCAACGCTGGCACACGCAAAAAAGAAACTTCGACCACAATCAAGCCAGCCATACTGTATTGTCAGTTTCAGAAAATGACCTCCAATATAAGTGTTGTGGTTCAATTCCTGCAGCAAACGGCAAATGTGGTTTGGGTTCTTCAGAATCTGGTAAACCATGATGAGATGCCCACCGCAAAAGCTGATATCGACTGCTGTACATTCTTAGAGATTTCAGTCTACCTTGATGGGGCAGATGTAAGATGCCTCCGACGTTCTTAGTTGCCCTTCGTTGTGGAGTCTCGAGATAATAGTGATCCTGTTTCTGCCACGGCTGCCACGCCTGAATAGCGTATTCCACATGCGGTCGCACGTAGGCTCTATGCATTTGGAGAAACAATGAGGGTTTAAACCGCCCGAACGCACTGCAAAGGAGACAGAAATGGTGATCGACAGTTATCGGCGCCTACTTTGCTTGTTTTGAACCCCCGACATCTTCCTGTACCAATACACCCAAGTCACGCTCCTGAGAAACCTTCTACAAGGTGTGGTCTCCAAGCTTGTAAGCGCTCACTGGCTTCTGACGCAGGTGGATCACCTTGCACTTAGCGATGTTCAACTGAAGCAGATTCCTCCTTGATCATCCATAAATGCAATTTAGGTCATGTTGGAGTAGATAGTGATCTTCGTTGTTCCCAATCGCCCGCCATATCTTGACGTCATCGACGAAAAGCAAGAAATTGGAGGAAATAACTTGCCAGGTTAATGATAAACACCAAGAAAAAGCGCGGTCCCAGCACTTAGCCTTGTGGGACACCACATTCCACCTCAATCGGCTTAGAAAGTGATCCCCTAACACGTAATTGAAGCTTCCGTTGGTGGAGAAAGTTGCCAATGCAACCAAGCACCGGATCTCCGATTCCGTAGCTCTGTAGCCGTTTAAGTAGGATGCGGTGATCGAACAGGTCGAAAGCTTTAGAGAAGTCCAGATAGATGAGGTCAACTATGACCTCATCATTAGCCACTTCCGTCCAACTACCTCGTCCAATCAGTAGATTGGTGGTGCATGACCGGTGTTGATAGAAGCTATGCTGCTCCCATGCCAAGATGTTGCATTTTTCCAGCTGGTCCAATAAAGCCTCAGTGACGACCGCTTCCATCATCATCGCGAGCACAGGGAGGAGAGTCACTGGACGATAGTTTGCAGGTTCTGAACGGCTACCGCCTTTAAAAATTGCGGTTGTTAACGCCACGCATCCACATAATGAGGACTTGTTGCTCATCAAAACACCATTGGAAAAAATGTGACAATGGTTCAGCTAGCCTGTCGACCACAGCCTTCAGTGCCTTTGGGCTGATGTTGTCTGCTCCCGAAGAACTATGATCGCGCAGTAAGAGTAACTTCCTTAGCACAATCATGGGTTGAAAATTGCATGTGTAAACAATGGAGTCGGTAATGGGCATGACATCATGGGACAGGTTCGGGCAGCGAGTTCGGAAATTGGGGCGTATTGTAGCCGCAGGGCATTAGCTGCTTCTTCGGCGCTTTGTAATCTACCGCCTGTCATGAAAAGTGGGGGGAGGAAGCCATGCTTTACTACATGAAGATGGTTGACATGTCTATACAGCAGTGTGGTTTGCCAGGAATTTTTGGCTAGACACCGTTGATAAGATACTTTGTCCTCACGGACAAGTGCAGTGCGACGGTTAGGATGGGTCAGGAAATTGCTCCAAGTTTCTGAGTCGGGGTTAACCTTATAGGCACGCCACGGTGCATCTCGTTTCGACAGGAGTTTTCGAGTCCTGCTCCTTAGAATTGAAGGCATTTTTGCGGGACGAAAGGGCTTGGTCTCTGATGCTTTGTTGACGATGTTGCTGAGTCTATCAACTAATTCTGTCTAAGCCTTGTCAAAGGGACTGTTGTTTGAGAATTCCCAAGACGGCAGTCTGTTGTATTGATATAGACCCTGATGAGTATTGATGGTGAGAAACTGTCTTTATTCCTCATCGACCTCGACTTCTAAATAGACATCAGAAAGGACAATCTTTTTGAAAATATTTTGCCACCATTTAGCTGTGCAAACAAATCAACCGGAATTGGTAGTGAGTATTGGTGACTCAGAAGTGCAACACTCAGTCCATTTGAAAAATCACCACAAATACGTACTGTGCCACTCGCCTTCTTAACTACCACAATGGGAGTAGCCCAGGTTGAATAATTAACCTTGGTTAGCACGCCCAATTCCTCCAAGCGATTCAGTTCTGTATCAACCAATGGGACGGCTGAGTAGGGTACTGGCATTTTAGGACGGAATACTGGCTTTGCTCCAGGTGCGACATACAAAGTAGCCCGAACTTTGGTGTACAATTCAAGTTCTGGTTTGAAAACACTAGCATTCTTTTCCTGCCAGTTTGCTAAAAATTTCATTTTTCACTTTTGTAACCACAGTTACGACATCGCTTGAAGGCACATTTCGGATGCGCTGAGTTTGGGAATCACAAATTGAGCTGATTGGAACATTCCATAATTGTAGCTCATCTATCCATTCAATGCCTAATAAATTTAGTTCATCTTCTGCCACAATGTAAAATGCCCCACTGCATTTATTGTTTCGAAATGTGAACTCAGTTTAATTGTCCCAAAAAGGCGATTGGTTTGTCAGAAGCGTTCCGAGCAATACGTTTTGTAACACAGTACTCTGGTTCGTCAATGCTTTTCCAAGTCGAATATGAAATGATTGTTGTGTCGGAAGCAGCGTCAATTTGTAAGGTAACTGGTAACTTGTTAATTAATAACGTGATAAACTTTCGGTCATGCCTCACACGAGAACTGTATGTGGTGGACAATAGATTTGAATGCCTTCTGAATCGGGTTGAGTGGTGCTCTTTGAACAAACGGACACAGTGTCCCTCCTTGTGAACTAATGTGTCACAACCTTGAAATCTATGGAATCGAAATTTACAAGGCGTGCAAAGTGCCAGGCGCCACAATTCCAGCATGGGGTAGGTGGTCGTTGAAACCAGCCTCTTTGGTTTGGAAATCTGTTTCACTTGATTTGGTAATTTTACCAACAGAAGTCATGTCCGAATAACAGTTGTTTGACTGTAACATTTGTGAATCACGCTTTAGGATCATCATTCTGAGGTATTCTGTGGTGAAATCATGCAAGGAAATGTCACAACTAGAGTCCAGTTTTGATAGTAACTTTGTTCTGATATCGGAATCCGCAGGCGATGTTAAGCTAGATACAAAAATCAATGCTTTGAATTGATCGTCTGAACTTTTCACTCTACCTGCATGTGTCACAATGTCATCGGCTTTTGCTCTAGTAAGCTTTAAACAATTATAACGAACGTTAAATATTGATGTCCGCTCTCCAAAAATTATAGTAAGCTTATCCACGGTTTCTTGCAAAGTAAATTTCTTGGATCTTTTGGTAGAATGTAATTGCAATATCTTGTGTGTTCAGAACATCCAAGTTTTTGCATCAACAGCCGTACTTTTGCTGATTCATCCAATGCTGAACCGTCGACAATAAAAATGTCTTCATATCTCTTGTACCAAGCTAAAAATGTATTGCCACTGTCTGGGTCGTAACTGAATTCTTGAATTCCATTGGCCAATGCAACTTTAGGTTGAGTATCACTTCTGTCCTCCTGGAACCTCTGATTCGTATGCTGAAAAATTTCGTGAGAACTCCAAATAATTTCTGTTGTTGATCCAATTGACGTTGCTGGTTTTGTAACATTTGCATGATAACATTTTGGTCAACCATCTCTGTCGCCAGACTGTTGTAACTCCCACTTAGTAGTACGAAGACAAAATTGACACTGCTTGAAAACGTTTAGTTGCACAACCGATGTTACAACCAATTGTCCGGGAAAGTCATTAACAACACGCTTGGTCGAAATTAATCAATGCTCATGTGCTGGAAATCGATCGATTTCACGTGCAGTCTGTGTGGCTGACATACGTGGTCTCTCAATTCTTGGCCCTCCCACACCATGCTTTGAAAGGCGTTTACATTCTAGTTTTAACTCACATGTAAGCGGTCAATTCCTGTTTATCGGTTTCTATTTGGAACCCCCGACCCTTCCAGATTGGCATGCCTCAATGTATGCACATTGTTACAGATCGATCAACAGGCATCACTTGTCCGAACATTAGAGTGGCTCTCGTTCGATATGTGCAATCGATCGGAAACCCGTCTACAATACACGAGCTCCGTTCTCACTCTACGATCACCAGAACCAGAACTATGCCCGACTGTCGTAAATTCTGAAGCCTTGCAAGAACGAATGTAATGGTGAAAAATCAATGGAAAGGAGATTACATAAGGTTTGTACAGTAGTCCTGTAATTTAGGCTTGCATTTCCTCTGCATCTTTGGATCGGATCAGCTTTGTCAGACCGTATATTACCCCGCTGCAAATATTCCAATGATTGTTACTACTAGAAGACAAGGTACGTTGAGAACCGGTAAGGAGTCAAAAAAACGTGGTCGACCTTACTTTAGCCAGTGGATAATTAGTCGCATGACGGAGGGGAATAGCGAGTAGAGAATGAACATGCAACTAACTGGGTGCTAAGGGGGTCCGGGTTTGGTTGGACTACCAGTACTGTCAGAGTTAGGGTTAGTTGCGGGTGAGGAGGTAGTCAGGCCATGCGCAGCTGAGTTGACGATGGTGGATGGCGTGCTATACGAACAGGAGGAAGCGACCGAGCCACGAGAATCGAATACTACAGCAGCTGTGGGACAAGTAGCGGGGAGTGGTTGAATCGGGTGCGACCGCTGGCGTGGTGGTATCGGGGGTGCTTGGCTTTGGGGGACAAAAGCGGTAGTTTGGGGTTGTGCGGCAGACAAGAAGGCAACAGAGGGTGGTGGCGGTTCATCATTATCACATTTCACAGGAACAACCTAAGAAAAATAAAACAAAAACAAATAACGCTGCAGTGGACTGCTTATAACAACTAATTATGGCTTGTAGTTGCAAAACGATGAAATAGAGTGAGACAGAAGAAAATTCGTATGGACCGGCTTGAATATGTTAGTAATGTATGTTTTTAGTGGTTGAATACAATCACATAGTTGAGAGTGATTCCGCTACCAAAGCTCAATCTGTACACCCATATCCAGTGCAGAAGTGGGAATGAAGGCCGCAACTGACTGGGAAACACTTCACCGTTCTTTGCAAAGCTGTCGCTAATGTGTGTAACTTGAGGAGCACGCGCACCACACATGTATACAGTATGATACATGGGCTGCAACACAGGCCATGATGGAGTCACATTGGAGCTCGACTGAAAAGCGTCCTAAATTCCATTAAGCACAGTAACGAGTAATTTATTGTAGATAGCAATCGAGGTGGCGGTGCCGTACAAGTAGGTGCCTCGTCAACTTCCGAACAGGGTACAATCAAACTTTGTGCATAACTCTGCGCTAAATTCTAGGCACATGTCAATCAATCATTCAGGTGCATATTCTATTGAAGCATCCACACAGATCAGTGTCGGTACCAACACAACTATTGCCAGTTCACTGCGCACTCGACAAGGGTGGTGGAAGTACGCATGTGATGTACGTGAGGTTCATCGGCTGCAAAAGCGGGGTGACCAGAAACTTACAAAGTTGGAAAATGAGGCACTGCTAGACTATTATAACTAAAAATGTATAAAGCCAATATCTCGGAATATCCTTGCAACTGCCTGGGAGTTGGTGATTTCGGTAGGTTTTGTTGTGGCTACATTTTGCCCTTGAGACAAGTGATCTTTCGGGCCAGGTGGATCGTTACACAATTAGCTTACGTTCTATAGCAAAGCAAAACGAAAGTGATGACAACTGACACGAGTCAGTGGATACTTACGTTACAGGTTAATGGATCAAACTACCATCGAACGTACCCGAATGTACTGTGTCACAGGTCGTTCACATGTTGGGCATTGCTGTACCTGATGCTGCCAATTCACGCTCCGACATGAATCCGTCCATCGACACTATTCAGACTGACCGGGTTAAGACAACTCGCTGTGTTTGGTAGCTCCATTCTGCCGTTCTGCTAATGCAGTTATTGGCGTTAGGGATTTCCATCGCCATAGAAATTAACGTGTGGCCTGTTGCTCGTACTCCTCTCTTAATGATCTCAACGTTGTCCCAATCGATTTTGTGTCTCACGTCTAGCGCGCGTAAGGCCACCGCTGAATCTCGTAGTAGGACCCTACGTACGCTCGTTTCTCGGTGGACGCGAAGCGTGCCTATTGCCCTCTGCAATCCTAGTGCGTACCTATCTCGCTGCGTGACCTACGTACACATGTACACAGTCTTGGCAACTTAATCTGCAGATACAGTTGATCGTCCTATCTCTCAGAAGCGGATGTTTCAAACCCACAAATGATAAACTGAGCATTTGATCTATTTAAAAAATCACCCTCGATTTCTTACTGTTATGTACTCGTCAGATTGCTTCAGACTTTCCCACTTTATGTGGGATTCCTACCGTCACAATCCACTCCGTCATGCATTACGAAGATGAACGTAGGACCCTCTGCAACTGACGTTTCACTAACCGCCTTAGATATCCACTAGCTAATGATTTCCTCACTGCCTGCTTCCGTACGAACATCCAGTCCTCTTCCTCTGTGCACAGATTCCGGGTCCAACGAAACAGAGAGGATACGATAGCAGCATAGACGTGCTTTGAATGACCCGAACTGCAATGGAGTGTCACATCCTCATCTGCCGGTTTGCGACATGTCGTTGTTTTAGCAGTCCTCCATTCCTGTGAACTAGGCAGTGTGCCACTACAAGATACTGGTAACATAATAAGATCAATGCGATCATAAATATTATGATGATTCAAAAACCCCTCCTTATACTAGTAAAAGTAGCATTTAAGTAACGCCATCAAATCTTTGGCGAACTATTGGAGCATGTCAACGCTTTCCTCTCAAAGACTTCCATGTACAGAGTTGCCAACACAGGGGATATTGGAGACCCCACAGCTAGTCCCTGAGCGTACAGTCTGAACTGTGACATGAAATATGACATACCAAGGTACACTTTTATTCCCTCAATTATGTGGTCTACCGTGAAGCTATTGTCCTCAGTCAGACACGCTGTGCGACCCCTAGTGCGTCATCTTTGTGAACGTTAGCGAACGGTGAGCTAACATCGAAACTAAGCATTATCTTATCGGACACGGTGGTCATATTTGCTATCTCGTGTAAAGTCAAGAGAGTTTCCTACGGACGTACATGTTCTCCGTGTAGTCGATTACAACAAACGTGCCAGATATGGGGCCAGTTCGTGCCCATTTACAGTGAGCAGAATGGGAAGATCGGGCCTATGTATCTACCACAGCCCATGGATCTTAGGCGGAAGTGTGGATTTCGGGTATCCGTTGTACCATCTACTCGGCCCTAGGTAGTCCTTCACACTCCTTCTGGTCCGTTGGGATGCAGCATGCGCACACACGTGGGCAACCGTAGAGGGCAGGGTTCAGTCAATGCAGCAAGTCAGTATGTAAGATGGAATGGATGGATGTGGTGGGGCAGAATATCGACGGATTGTAGACCCACCTCGCAATGGACTCATGCTCGACGCAGGGTGCTGGTGTGGAGTTATGACAAATATCTACACAATCGTTTAAGGGACAATGCCAAGGTATTAGAAATCTTGCCGAATATGAAAGAATAGAAGATAATCCCATTTTGTCAAGGTATACTCTGGTACTAAATTTTCAGTTTGTTTCACGGAAACCTCATAATCGTTCTGAGCGGAGGATAGGCTAAGATGGAAATAATCATTACTTTTGAGACAGATAAAGCATGATAATCTACAAGTTATAGCTGGCCAATCAAATTGTCACGGTGGAATCAATAAAAATACTAAGCAACAATTATAACAAGTTATTCTTGCTATCTGTTACATGTATGCGCACTTTTCATTTTCTAGTATAACCGATTAATAAATCTTTATCAGTTAGCTGAGACCCTATATTAATTTTGGGCTTTGAAAACGGCATTCCTCAATCGTACACCCAACTGAGACTGCTGCAATTTTGAACACCGTAGGATCAGCGTACAATAGGGGAACTGTGTGTGCGAGAGGGCATGGACGTTTGGCAGAAGTGAAGCAAATGAGGGTGCGGCGCACGTGTCGGGTCGGGGGGGGGGTTTAATGGCTTAACTGTGGCGCTCTGAATGAGCAACTGTGATGTGAGAGATTATTTGAAGAAGTCATAAAGAGGCTAGTTATGTTCAATCACCGCTGTCTAGTGGAAGCAATGCGTGAGCAATGAGCGTGCTCGACGTCGCCTATTTGGTGCAGGAAGAGAGAGTGAACCGCTCAGCACCGTTATATTACTCCCCAGGCTCCGATGGCTGGGCCACGTGTTGCGTATGCCAGCCCACCGACTCCCGTGACGTGCGTCATTCGCGCGCGGGGGGCGTGGATGGACGAAGAGGGAAGGCCAAGCGATGACTTGGTCCAGAGGAATAGAGTCCTCACTTCGAAGCTGGCGTCGGTTGGTGTTTCCCGACTGCGTGGCTGGGGTCCGAAGGACGATGAACACGTTTGGTTGGATACACTAGCCGACATGGCGAAGAATCGACCTCAGTGGCGATTGTGTTGTGAGTCAGTTTGTCCCTCCACTTCCCTTTAGCTTCCCCCACCAACAACGATCAAAAATGTGATACTAGCATTATATTGCTTATTTTAGGTTTTAAGTCTACATTGCCAATTGCCCCATTTTTTGTATTGCCTCACATTAGCTGAGGTGTATTTCTAACCGTCGGCAAACGTGTATTGATGATGATGAATTGCGATGTGGAAATGAACGTGCTCTCCCAGTCCCAAAAAGACAGGTTATCTCCTTATTAGACGCAACCTGGCCTCGGAACGAATGGGATGCAAACATGGAAGTAAACAGGAGATATGCTACGAGGATTACAATCTCGAATAGCGCAAGGGACATAACAAGTGTGGACATGCGTGCTAACACCAATGATCCCATAAATGGTTGGTTTGGCGTGCGTAGTAATACGAGTTTACGAACAAGTAATGGACCGAGTTGGATGTCCCTTCAACAAAGGCACAAGACACAAAGTTTCTCAGCAACCCGTTATGATGACTTCGGAAACGAATAGAAGAGAAAATCTGATTGGAATTGCCAGTAGGTTTCAGAAAATAAATATAAAATGAAGAAGCGACAAAATACTTAACTTGAATGAAATCAAGAATTAGATTAAGCACCACGGAAACGAAAAACAACGCATGCAAACCCACTACAATTCACCGAGTAAATCAGTTGTCACCTAACAAATCACACATTTATCCTATCAAAAAGGATGTAGCTGCGCATCAGAGCTACAACAGCTAACCAAGGTTGATCAAAACTTCTCCGCACGGCTTCATGGATGCTCGTTCAAGCATAACGTGCCGCCTTGAGTTTCTACACCATTCAACTGCCTGTCTGCAACCGGTATCTATCTCGACATACGCAAAGAATTCGAGAGAGTGCCTAACGGAAAACTAGTGTCCCAAATGCTGTCGTATGGAATCGAAGAACCCCCTACTTTCATGGTTTAGCTTATACCTAACAAGTCGAACGCAGGTGGTATAGATTCAGGAACACACCTCTGATGTATGTTCACGATAGCTTTGGTACAGTGAAATTCATAAAAACAATACGTTTTTGCCGATGATAACAAAACTTCCTCGGTCCACTGCAGGGGGTCGAACTCAGGACTGCTACTAGTTTGCACCACTAGTCAGCAGTTTGATTACCAGTGAGTAAACGGATCTAGTTAGGATTTTATTTACAAAATCACAAGTGAATCCTTCTACTCATCATTAAACAAAAAACATGCCTTACCAATCCTCAAAATATTGTGTGGATTCATGGCACTGAAAAAGGAAGTCCTGACCGGACAGCCAATCACTGTCCTCTGCACGGGCAGTAACCTACATGGCAGGGAAGGATGGGTCGGATGGTATTGCAGTTGGATTTCAATCCGTAATGGTCGGCTATCGTCCACCAAGTCTCAGTGGCACGTTGCTGGCTAGTGGTGCAAACCACCAGCGGTCAGCGGTTTGTTCCCTAGCAGGGCACCAAAGGAGTGCGTATCATTGACGAGCCCCAGTAGGGCGAAACGATTATCTGATGCTTATCCGGATTAGTAGCTTATGTTCTCCGCTTGTAAGCTAATTGCAATGAACCAAGTAAAATCATATCTAAGTCTACGCATTAGATATCAAACCGGTCTACACATTTCACCCTGCTACCATTAACAAAGCTGACAATATGATCAGGATCAACGTGCTCCAAATCGGATACTCAAAGAGAGGGAACTGAATCACGAAAGACGAGTGTTACGCAATATCTTACAAATGGGGCATAACATCTAGCGTTCTGATCAATGATGAGAAGCCAATTACTATATGCCACACAGTTCGGGACCAAGAAATGAGATATTCATGCGCATTCAACTTCCCCGAACATGTGGCTTACGTCACTCCAAAGTCCAGAAACAGCATTAGAATGTTATTTAGAACGTTTACATCGAAAAATCTGTTCTCTGCAGCAGAGCATCACAACATCATAAACAAACGCGAACACAGAGCACTAGTAAACATGCAACAAACTTCTACGAAAAGCCTACTAAGTACCACATCGAAAGCGGAATATTCCGAACAATGTGAGCAACTCAAAATTAATTCCCCCTGGTTGAGATGCAAGAAGCACAATCAGATTGTTTAACGTCCCGCACAAGAAAATGCGTTTCCAACGTTCACATGGCAATAATACAGTTCCATCATACAACATGCTAAATAAGGAAAATCCTGTAGTTGACTGCAGTTCGTAGACCACCAGATCCGCCAGCTTCTTCCACAACAGATATGCCAGAATTTGGCACAAATTACTATCCGAAACGCGTGCTTGCAATTCAGAGTATGAAATTCGCAAAAGGACCAGCATATGTTTGACCGTGCAAAAGTGATCCACCTACTAGGATGTCGCATACGAAATAGCCAAGCATAGGAACAACGACAAGGATTCATTCTATTCAGAAAACAGTCTACAACAGACAGTGAATATTGCGGTGGGAAAACCCCTACACTCGTCGTCTTCATTACTTTTCTGCCTCCTACACGAATGTACCAACTAAGCATGCCTCTATATTCTGCGTCTTCATCGTCCATGTTAGTATAACTCTTATTGCAGTCAACCATTACATTTCCCAATTCTGGGCGCCTCTCTCGCTGCAGTCGCACGTGAGTGCCACAACCAACACTCGATATTACTTAAGAGCATTGAATAAAACAACCATCACGTGTTAGAAAAAAGAAAGTTAAACATACTTTGCATTTATGTTAACCCATTTTCCCAAGCTTCAAAAATAACTTTTCAAGAGCTTCACATCACATTGGGCCTACCAATCCCGATAATCATTCGGAGCATCAGACAACACACTGATACAACAATGAACAATAATGACCGGTCAAATCAAAAATCGATTTGCTACAGTCTTGTACAGTTTTTGATCATTCGTGATCGTTGCACTATAAAATTACCGGAACATGCAAACATATAACCTTTGTTTATCTGCTCAATTGAGAGCGCATCGCAGCAACTTGTCAACCAAATAGGACTCCATCTGTCCAGAAAAGCAGTAGACGGTCGTTTCGAATTAATGGATCTTGTTAGTAGGATCCGAGCACATGACCATCAGCTGTTTGAACCGAAAACGAGCAGATTGTTATTGACCCATAGGGGACAGCAACTGAACGCCATGATTTACAAACTAAGTGCGATACAGCGTGTCCTATCCTCCACTGCCATGCAAGTTATAAACGTTGTAGAAGACAAGCTTCGCCTGAAAGACAAGATTTCCACTAAGAGTAGCTATGTACGACAGCAGTTAGAAATTTGCATGGCAAATATTTTAATGTGCTCAAGAGTAAGGAGTTTTGATATAATTAATTGAAAGTTCATCGGAGAAGATTTCGGACATGTGGAGCAGCTGCGATGAACTCTCAAATAACATCAAAACCCCTTACTCATGAATAATGAGTATATTTAACACGCAGACAGTGGTTGCGAAGGTGGGATATTATAGCCTGCAACAGATATCAATGGTACCAGTGTAGATTTTTCGCACTGTATAAATAAATAAATAAATAAATTTGTATATTTAGCGACAGGCGGTACACGGCCCCATAAGTGGGAGCGATAATATTTAATACTTAATCGAAGAACAAGAAGTCATAAAACTGCGTGCGCCAAACACAAGAACAACCGCCTTTTTTGTCCTATCGTTGTCTTTCACATTCGCAATGGTCCTGGACACCACAGTGTAGTCAGAATTTCGTGTATATATATAGGCAGTGAACAAAAATAAAATTGTGAAGTGAAGAGACGGTAGATAGGTCGAGGGAAACCACAAGATATATGCCTCGATAGCAACAAAATTCCTACGGCATCAATAATATACCTGATAATGTCTGGTCCGATCGATGCTCGAGCATAAATGAACACGTGGGTTCCTCAGCACGCGCCTTCCCCGGTCTTTTAGTATATGCTGTCACAGCACTTAGTTGGGCGAAACTGCGAAAAAATTGACAGAGGTTTGACCAACCTGGAATGAGGACACATCAGTGGTTGGAGAACGAATGCGACATAGCGCAGTCGCTGAGTCTCTGGTGCTCCTGATTTAGGTTTATTGCGGATATCTGTTAACAACGTACCCCGATCAGTTTTGCTCACTTTCTTCCTACCTACGCTTCATTGGTATTCCGTTTGCGTCTAACCTCATTTTATCTCCACTCCTAATTATGGTTATCCTCGTGACGTGAGTTGCGGCAACTGGGTCCACTGCCTGTCGATGCTCTGGATCGTAGTTATTTGAATAAACTGAACTAACTAAACACAAGTGGAGACTCCAGATAAACGGTAGCAAAGGAAAAGCAAAGGGCATTAGCAGTACGCCAGTACTTATTACCGACGCTTCGCTGCCGCGCAACCAACACCTGTCGCATGTGTGCGAAAGATACTGCGAGAGTCGCCCGGTACCTACCCAGGCTCGAACCCACGTCCTCAGATTACCAGACAGACTTGTGATCCTTAGGTCTACGGGTCGGTAAACGGTAGCAAACCTACTAACCCAAAGACAGCTTAAGGCATAAGCGCGTACGGCGAGTAGCTATTAACGTAGCGAAGCTAGATGTGGGCTAAAAACAGGTGCACGTTGAGCGCTCACACAGAAATCCACCATTCGGTATCACTTAGCAAGTTCCTTTCTATTATCGAGTCGCAAAACGATGCGCAGGTTTTAAGCTCCCCCCGTAGAGTAGGAATGCGCGCTGGGATCATGTGGTTTCGTTCAGTTTAACATGGTAGCATTACATACCAATAGTACGATTCCATAAATTATCTCGACCGAACGTCTAACTTATGCACTCGAAGGAATGGGTGATTTCCGAACCCTCACGACGAATCCACGGAAAGGCGATCTAGGAACGTATTTGACGAGTGAACTTACGGTAAACTTGCTTGCTACCGTCGTCGTCTTCGTCGATGAGTTCCGAGTGGCTGGGACAGGTTGTAATGCATGTGCAATCATCGGGGGATGAGGATCTACTTGAAACGCCCATAATGAGTCCAACGCATGCGACGGTGCGCCCGGATAGGTCTGAGAAACTGCGGCTAGTGCAGATGGAACAGAATTAACGGTTCCGGTGATGGAATGTGGAATGGTGGCTGCTAAACAAGGAACAGGGCAGGTCACACTACTGGGGACTGGAGGTGGGCCAATTGACACAGGTACCGAATGTGTCGGCGCCGCAACTGAATGAGGAGTAGCGACCCCACTGACAGGATGAGTTGGCAAATTGGTGCAAGACTGAATGGTAGAGAGTATCCGTTGAATTTCTAAGGGTAAAGTAGTTGGCTGTGAAGAAGAAGAGAACAAACGCAACTAGGAAAGTGGAGGAGAGAACTGACAGAGCAACTTAGCTACAAAAGTAGGGTATATACCGAAAGATTGTTCCAAATGTATACGAGGCATATAAATGAAATGTGTGCATCCAGAGCTAAAAAGCAATGAAGTCGAAAAAACCGACTAAGCAGGTTTTAGGCCTAAATCCAGCATTATTCATTCATTAATTCGACTACTGGTTTCTTTTTGGTCATCAGCTTCTTCGTTGAACTCCTTAGCCTTTTCCGCTCTTACGGAGCCTCCTGATCTGTTAAGTCTGTGAGTCTATCTTCTCTTGTCTATGGTTGCCATACCGACAACAAGTACCAATTGGCTAAACTTGTTTCCTGTTATCTGGAAAAGCCTTCTAAGGGACTGGCTACTGAGAAAGAAGATACAGCCACCAATTTACTTATACATAAGAAAATCAGAAGAATAAATTGGGAAATGACGCAATCATTTCGTGCAAACGTATTGATCACAAACATGCAGCTGTTGATAGAGAGTACATAAAATTGTGAGGATTTATTGGTGGCCAACTAGTGGCTAGTCAGTGCGATTCGCGCTACCACGGTAGACGCAGTTATAGTCAGCTGTTTCTGTACGCACACTTACGACTGCTTTCGATCAATAACTGGTTTCCAATGGTTTGAGAATGTGGGGCTTCTGCTTCTCTATGGGGACAGTAAATGATTTACCGTGGTTGACTTGGTGGCCGGTGTACAGCGAATTCCTTGTGAGTGTTGGGGAAGCTTGGTCCGTCGATTCATCCGATTCAGATAATTTAGATTCGTCACAGCCAGCTTCCAAATCAGATAGGCTTTCACATGCCTGGAAAAGCACTAGACTGCAGTTTCAGCCTGTTGGGTGTCATCGGTAGTGCGTATCCATCGGATCCATCTGGATTCGAACACATGACCACCAGCGGCTTGCATCGCCAGTCAGCATCTTATGCCACTGGGTCACGGGGGACGGCTTCGGACCCTCATGATTTACAAGCCAACTGTGATATAGCGCGTCTTATCCTCCACTGCCATGCAAGTTACAAACCTTACAGAGGTCACGGTTGGCCCCAAAAGACACGACTTCCAGTAAAAGTAACTATGTACGGCATAGCGTTTAGAAACTATTAAGGAGGATATAGTTTACGCTGCATGTTTGTGATCGATAAGTTTGCACGAAATGACTTATGGCATGCGTTTTGCATGGAAATAGAATAAAATTTCAGGTTTGCGATTTCTGAGGAGGAAGCGTTTATCGAGTTCTGCTAAAAATGTAGCAGCAGACAAATATGAAAGAACTCCTGTAATTCCCAAAGACCGATGCATTTTCATCCAAAACGAAGTTGACCGACATGGAATGAATGTCGAATTGCCCACCAAAAAGGTCTACGGCAATGGACGATCTTTACGAACTGCTACTTCCTTTCCAGTAGAGTGCCAGAGGAACGCAAACAGAAACATGTGAATAGAGCCTCGTACTTCTCTGAAACTGCATCGGAAGTCTGTGGTCGCATACGTCGCTATAAAAATAGAGTTGTCTTCAACATGTCGCAGATGCCTAACAGTGAAACGGTTGAAAATCAATTCTTATAACTAGCAACCTGCGGTCCATAAAATATATATGCGTTCGACTAAAGAAGAACCCGCAGAAACAATTCTGTCCAATTATACTAAAACTCTCTGACAAAAACCATCGCAAAGAAAAACATCCGCGAAATAATCTTATCACCACAAGAAGCGAATTTGTAAAAAAATACTCCAAATTAATGTGCTTCGCAATAGACAAAGATTTTCCAAAATCTCATAAGAGCAGATACCAGTAAAACATCATCACATAAGCCTCTGTGCCGCTTTAACTACATGCGTGCTATGCATTTGTTTTTTGTGAACCCACCGCATAATAAACCCTCCTCTTACCTCATTTTTACCCGACACAATGCAACTGGTCATCGGATATTCAACATACACTGCGCAGATCCTGTACATTCACATAATAATCCTTACAATTGTGTTGTAAACCCTATACTCATCTCGACTGTACATGAAAAGTTGCTACACCAATCGTGGAGTGGGCAACATCCTTAGTAAATAGTACCATATGCATTAGCTCACCACCTCATGGATCTCCTGATGGAGTCAACAACAGAAACAGCCATATGGCGGTAACCTTGCACCTCAGGATGTTACAGTAAGTACGTTATCAGATAACGTTGTTTACAACATCCTAAAGTACAAAGAAGCAAGCTTCCTACTTCTGATAAGGTGTAGTTGTCCCTTCAAACGAACGCACGATCACTGACGAACGGGATGCATCACATGCTATCCTTAGTAGTCTTCATTTGCCCAAATGTTGCGCTCGTAACAGAAACAGAGTATTGTGCAGTGCGTGGAATTCCTTGGAAACGATGTCATGCTTTTCGATAGCAAACGTCTCAATGGCCGAAGTGCCGGCTGCGTTGTGTACGTATATCCTAAATTGGATTAGAGTAGTGTGAAGGCTCTATCCATAGACAGTCTTGAGGATTCCGTCTATGTGCATGTGAAGATGAGCTCGCATCGGTTTCATACAGTTGTCGTCTTGAGGTAGTAAAGCCAGACTAGACCAAATGGCCGAGATATTTGAATGGGTAGTTTGTCCAAAAAATTACTGGGTGTGATTCCAATATCACGTATCATGGCATGGGTAAACTGTGCGATTTTGATATAACTTTCTACTTCTATACTCGTAAATGGATATATCTTTATATTTTGCAACACTATGAAGAGACATTGAGCCACCAGAAACCATGGGACTCGAAAGAAGGTACAGAAATAGTAAAAGAAAACACAACAAAACACATCATGATTTCGTCAGAGGGCGAGATAATACCCGGCTGCCCAAGCCGAAGTATGGTGTTGACTTAGGGGACACCACCTCGAGTGTTTGGCTAAAAAGCCTGCTCGCAAGGCAGCGGAGCGAATTCGGGGAATCGCGCCCGTTGGGAGCCAGTGACTGATTGCTCAGTTCATACGCCTTTCGTTTGTTCCTTTGTCAAACAGGGGCCCAAAGCTCCCCAGAATTACAGCATAAATTTGCTACAATACAATGTTTCTCCAGGATGAAGCAAGGGGTAGTGACTTTAGTTAGTGGCGAGTCACATCCGCCACGTCACAGTGTTGTTAAACGGACATATGTGCCAAGCGAAAACCCACCACGTCCTGGAACATTGCCCCATAATTGTCGGCAGAGCCAGACACCAGGGCTTTATTCCACAATACGCATCGTCGTCGAGGCATTTAACCATACTCTCCGTCGAACTTCACTGGTTCAGCTTTCCGTTAATTGAGGGGTAGGAAACGAGCGCATAACGAATGTACACCCTCTTTTATAACAGCCAATGGGTTTCGAGGGACGAATCCTGCAGTAGCGACCAGTCTACTTCACTGGCGGCTCGATTGAGACCATCGAAGTCGGTCTTCCAATAATTGTAGGGCGGCTCCGGTGGACGCGAGTAGGGCAGCGACAGGTCTAGACTGGCTAACACCATCGAGTGGTCCCTAGCTGCCAGAGGCTCTAGAACCTGAATTTCATATGCGCGTTGCTCGCGACTCGTTAGTAGTAGGTACAGACACGATGGAGCAGGATACGGTGTAACGTGCGTTGGTTGACAAACATGTGTTGCTTCAGTTTCAAATATCATGTTTGCAAATAGCGTCTCGATTTCACAGTGCTCGGGGAGAAGTTGAACCTCAGGCCACCGTATTCGAGAGAAGTTAAGATGGTCCGTAAGCAGGAAGCGGGGCCGGCTCATGTAGTTTCTGAAATGCGGCAAGCAATTCAGACATCGACTTCGCGGGCTGCGATATGCTGCACCCATACAGTTCCCCTTGTCTCGGGCGCATCGAGCACCATCACTGTTCGCGCAGGCCATGATCGTTCGCGCTGATCTAGAATACAGCGCATTAGTAAGTATCGAAGATGCATCGAAATCGTCCTTGAGAAAGTTCAACGCTTCTTTAACAAATGACTGTAAGGGTTAATCTCTTTAAGGTATCGCCAGTGTCTCAAGCTGTTGAAGTTGGGACCACTCCGCATTAATTAAACAAAAATAAATCAAGTCTTCCTGTTTGTTCAAGTGCATAACACATCTAGGAAACCAAACTCTGTGCAACCTAGTATTTCCTGCCACTATTCAATTAGAAATACATCCTCTACGTTCCTAGAGCTCGTATAAAGCAAGTCAGACTAGGAAGTTCATGTAAGTTAAGAAAACGTCAAGATGTCAAGCGTACCTTATTTATCGTCTCCGCCTATGCATCTACAGACTGCAGCCAGGATGCAGTCAAGGATTGCTTTTACCAACATTTAAATAACCTGCGTTCCTCCGAAAAGTCTAATATTGTCATTCTTGTCGCAGATTTTAACATATGAGTGGGTCGCCTGCCACTAAGTGAGCACTAACTTGGGAGTAGTTTTGGCCTCGGTAGAAGTCGGTCAGACAATAGAGACAGACTGCTGAATATTTATTCTGATCATCGCTTTTTTCTTTCGAGTTAAAGTTTTCGACACTCAAAGAGACTAACTGCTAGCTGGCGACTGCCTTCTGAAACACAAGGGTGGTCCCAACTAGATCACACAGAAATAAGCTAGAGATGGCGCGAAAGCCTAACAGACTGCAGATAGTACTGGTCAACTTGTCTGGACGCCGATAACGCATTGGTTCGTGCTACGATTTGTACGCGTTTCGGAGGATCGACCAGGCGTACGCACCACCACTCCAGTAGAGTCCAGTCTTCCAGCACCGTCGCTTGCGGTCCATTGCTAGTGTGTGGTGGCTTCACTAAGTAACCAATGTGGAAGTTAGGCAGCGCATCTTGGGTGGAGTCAGTCACTTGTTCGCTCCACTGCGTCCATTGCGGTGGTGTGAAAACGTATTACGACTGTCTCCTCGGCGTCTACCGAGTCGTGCATCGTTCAAGGTTGCTGTGCAGGGCTGGAAGAGGCTACGCGGTGGACAGCTTACGATTTGGTGAAGCGGAATGAAAAGGCTGACGAAGCAGTTGGTCTTGGTCGGTTTATCTTGACTCCCTGGTTGGAATTTCAGAGATACGGAGTATCGCTGATTAGAGACCCTGGAAGTCAAGGCTCAGGGCCGACGTCGATGATGGACGTGTTTATCTGCGTGTAGCGGTGATTTCCCTTCCTTGGAAAAAAACTCGCGAAAACTCAACAACTGTGAGTGGAAAACTGGACTAAAGATGCTGTTTGCTTTTTCTGCATATTCCGATCCTGTTTTCCTAATCCACGATGAATGCGGTGGCACAATATCTGTACCACAGACTGGAATATATATATATATATATATATATATATATATATATATATATATATATATATATATATATATATGGGTTATCTGGACCCATTAGATACTGCAGAAAAGCATGTATTTCGAATCGGAATTTGTCAAATACTAAACTGTATAAGAGATACAACAGATACAGACCGAGATCACATCAATTACCATTATACACGTTAGCTAGAGGTGGGAAACACCTCAGCTACTGTGCCGCAGATCACATCAATAAACGGTAGGAACGAGACAGACTAAGAGAACTCTGAATATCAAGCATCACCGAAACAGTTTGAGCTCGGTTTCGTCCAAGCACGACGGATCACTGTGCGCTAGTAAATCGCTGTTTCTAGTTTTATGTCTATTTCGCTATCCACTCTCACACTTTTATGCCTTGGATTCCCTTTCAAGTCCACGAAATCTCACTAGCATCTTTAACCAACTGGTAACAACTGTAATTCGCTGAGGTTCGTTATTCTTTAAACATATTTTAGCCGCTTCCATGAATACTTCACAGATGTTTTTCAATCGCAGGTAGATACACCACTGATGAAGCAAGAGTTTGTGACACAGGCTTATTTCTACTATCCTATGCCTCATTTTGACTATCAATGCTAGTAGAAGCATCGGTAGATCAGTGGCTCGAAAAACTTGATTGTTCATCGCTTTTATTTTGTATTCATTTATCTTGGATTAAAAGTTTACTGTCTGTCAGCGAAACCTCTGTCAGCTCGACCAATTTGGAATACAGGAGCAGTTGACCACAACTTTACCTAACCTTAGTCATCACTAAGTAACTGCCTTTTTATTTGAATCCACATGGCCGTCGAACTTCTGACGCATTGGTTGCTTGGAAAACCGGCTTCCAATTTGCGCCAGCCTTGATATTTCTGGTCATCTAACATTATTCATTTGTTCTGCCCGGTCTAACACAATGGCATCCTGGAGTACAATTACTCACCTGATCACTACTGAGACATCCAAGCCTTAGACACTGCAGTTTTACTTAAACTTAGCTTCCGTTGCCAGCTCATAGTTGCACCTACTCCAAACATTTAAAATAGTGAAGTCATCATATGTCACTATGATGTATGCCATATACGATATTTACAACCATTTGAAGTCGCAGCAATCAAGGCTCAACCTATTTAACTCACAATAAAATGGACGTTTTGACATCCACCATCCTCATCAGTTTATTATCAGTTATCATCAGTTTATTACTGGTTGTAAACGCATATATCAAAACAACGGACTGGACTCATTTTAAGTTATATAAGATAAATCCATATCGCGGACTTTTCTTAATCATGTTGCTGAATATGCCCAAGTAGGCATCTTCAGCCGGTGTGACCCATTTGTTAAGCATATTTATGTGATTCTAGGATTATACAATCATATAGCAATTGTGGCTCTTACCTCCATAACTTCAGACCATATGAAGAACAAAATCCGGCAATCTTCCCATGGTCAATTAATTACAACAATTAATTACAACATGTTATTATAAAATTTTATAGAAAATATTAGTTCATTTGCGACATTCTTCCATAATGCACGTATTTTTAGGTGCTTGCGTCTGAAAAATCACCTTTTGCTGGCGTATGCCGTAATTAGTGACACCAATATGCCAATTTTTCACTGTTAAGCTTCGTATCTTCATTTCAAATTAATCATTCCGCATTATTTTAGGTTTTTTGCCCGAATATTGTGGTAAGTAAAAATGTAAATCTATCGAAAATGCCAAAAGTTGGTGTTTTTCATAGTCAATGAGAAATTTACGAACTACTGGAAATTTTGCTGTTATCATACTTAGTGCCAACGGTTTGTAGATATTGGCTTGTGTGAGAGGGTTGTCCTGTTCTCTAAGCCTGACATTTCGGTTGCAGACGTTTCGTTACCAAGCTAGGAAACATCTACAATGCAGCTATTATGTCCTGATTCACAATCGCGCAAGCCAGTGGTCAGCTTGGTAAGGAAACTTCTGCAACAGAAACGTCAACCTCGGAAAACAGGACAACCGTCTTATCTGCAACCAGAACTACAGTTATTCACAATAATTTCAAAACTCGCTTGTGTACTTTTCAGTTGGGGCCATTTCTCACTCAAGAAACGGTGGTTATTGCCACTCAGTACTTCAAAGTGTTCAGAGTCACTGCCTAATGGAATGTGTATGATGTGATTTGTGTTTCATTGACAGCGAATTGCGCCAGTTACTAGAATTTTGCTAAGCTCAAATTTTCCATCTTTAATCGGCTACACTGACAACTATGGTAAATCCTGTTTTTTGTACGTTCTGATGTCAGCATCAACCTACTGGAAATTTGATCTCGCAAACGCAGTGTAACTGACCGATGGAATGGGTCTGAGCATCCGCGGTAGATTGAAACAGTCGAGTTTGCAAAACTGACTTATGCGAAGATTTAACATCGTCTCTTCCTACTATATTACAGTTTAATCCTTAACATTCATGAATTGTTACATGCTTCGGCTTGTTGTGTATACGAACATTTCCCGCGTATAACCTTGGCTTGCTTGGCTATCTGAATCATGAGGGATGTGGCCTCTACCTTGTGAGATTCCAATGTACAGGCAAGAAAATGCGGTATAAATTGATCGGACAATTCACGGCGATAAGCTTACCATATAGTCAAGGAATATGTCCTTAGTTATTTATGTTAGAAAGCTAACGTCGCTGCGTCACATGAAACCAAAACCAACAAGAGTGCTGAACAACCTACACGATTAGTACCAAAAGGAGAAGCTTGTGTGGATAAAAAGAAAGTGTTAAAATTCGATCTCGAGGTATACTTGAAGTAGGGAAGCAGGGCTGATCGATTCGGATCAGAATTTAGTGCACAAGCACGTGATAAACCAAAAACGCAGGTAACAGGGGGAGTTGAATGGTATAGGTAGAAATTCGTCACATCTAGACTCACTCAGACAGCCATCACACGCCCGGAAAAGCAGTGCACGCGCGTTTCATCCTTTCGGGAATCGCCAGCAGTGCGCATTTCATCGGATCCTGGTAGGGCTCGAGCCCGCAACTCGACTATTGTCAGTCCGTGGTTGAGACCACTGAACTATCGGTGGCGGCAACGACCATCGTGACGTACAAGTTAGTGGATAGTGAGCGGCGCTATATCACATCTAGTAACTTATTCACGATGGTCGTTGCCGGCCCTCGTAGCTCAGTGGTCTCAACCACGGACTCGCAACAGTCAATTTGCGGGCTCGAGCCCTACCAGGATCCGATGGAAGGCGCATTGCTGACGATTTCCGAAAGGATGAAACGCGCGTGCAGTGCTTTTCCGGGCGTGTGATGGCTGTCTGAGTGAGTCTAGATGTGACGAATTTCTACCTATAAAAGGTAACACTTGAAACATATGACATCAAGCAACAACGGATAGATATCATCGCGGATGTTTCAGGATCCTAGATACTGGATAGATTTATTGAGTACATTTGGTTAGAAGAATCCCGCTAGTGACCGATGGTGTGCTGTCCTCAAGTCGAGGCAGATAACTGCGTCTGAACAGAATCAGTCTGAGAGATGCCGCCAAATGCAGTAGGTGTAAATTTAAGTGATGTATCCAGTCCAACAGATAGGAGGAACCGAATGAGTTTCGTATATCCCAAATTCGATGACCATAAGGTGAATCGAGAGAAAAATGCGGCTTACTACAGATTACTAGCAGGAGCAAACCCCAGCTTGGTGTTTGGTGCACAATTTATCCAAATGTGCATTAGACTGGATAACTTGTGAGAAATGGAAAATCTACCCCAAGAAGTCAAGGTATCAGCAGTATGCAGGTAGGCAGTACCGCTTCGCTGCCGTGAAACCACCATCAGTCGCACGGGGTCGCGCAGTTCCCTAGGTAGGCTCGAACTTGCACCCTCAGATTAGAAAGCAGGATTGTTATGCTTAAAGCTACCGGCCAGTAAAGTATCTACCCCAAGAGCAATCATCAAAAACCAGTGATGCGCTCAGGTACAATACAGAAGACTGGTAGATCCAAGAGTCGATAGTGCAATGAGACGGCTTACCGGGTCCCTCGAGGAGCCGACTTCTGCTTGCTTATGCAAAGTAAAAAGTGCGTGTAGTAACTCAGGAATGAGTTGGTGTTGGGCAGTTGATCTAGTGAGGCTTTGTGATGATTGTAACGGAGGGATCTGTTCTGCAACAAGTGATTGCTGTGGTGGTGGTGGTGGTGGTGGTTTCATATATTGAGGAGGAGGAGGAGGAGGAGATGACCGCTGTAAAACCTGCCAGTCGGAACCGATCATACCACCCGCGCCGCTTGCATCTGCTCTGGTCAAAGAGGTTTGCGATGGGTAGAAGGGTGCCGCTGGAGAGACAGATGGAACAGCCCTCGGGGCATCGGGTAGGGTATCCGCGATTGGGACGAAGCTTTGGGATAACAGCCGTCCAAGCAAGGAAGTTAACAGAGGCACGTTCGCTTGACAGGGGACGGGGGTGGGGATGGTTGCTGAAGGCGTCGGAAGTCCTGTACTGCTTATCTGTGAGACGGCTGGCTGAACAAAAAACGAAGGCCGCGACGATCCATGGCCCGATGGTCTAGACGAAGACGGAGCTACGGCTGGCGCTGGACACTGAACGCTCGGTTGTCGAGTGAGTTGAGGCTGTACACTAGGTACCTAGGCGATGCAAAGATGACATGAAAGCCATGAACAAATAGCGGCAAAATAACCCGCGCGCCAAATGTATGACGGCAATAGCATGGGCTGAGTGATTGGCTAGATGTTGACAGTAAAAATTACATTTCATAAACGATGATGCTAAGGAATAGAGATGACCCTGAGTAGTGTAGGAATGAGCAGGTAGATTTGCCAGAAGCAACACAGACGTGAAACAATTCAAGCTAGCTCCACCTGCCGAGGCGAAACTAGGACGAAACCGTCGGTCGTGGAGTGCAGGGATGGGAAAGAGCAACTCTGAAACCCTTCATTGCAGTCGGATACGGTTCCAGTGAACGGAATGGCACAGACTGACTTTAACGTCACCCGAAGCTACCATTGTGATTGCGTGTCGTAAACCAAGACACACGGCAGATACTCTAAAACCCGACTATCAAATTCTAACCGCTGAGTCAAGCTGTGCTCGCGGTCATGGCGATAGCCACCAACCACTAGGTGCCGAGTTCCCCTCACAATTTAGGGTACCTCTAGCTGATGATTCCAAACAAGAACGAAACCGTCGGTCGTGGAGTGCAGGGATGGGAGACAGCAAAACTGAAATCCTCCACTTTAGTCGGATACGGTCCCAGTGATCGGAATAGCACACGCTGACTCTAAAGTCAACTAAATTCATAATTGTGATTGAGTGCCGTAATCCAAGATACACGCCGGGTAATCCGAACCCCGACTATCAAGGTTGGAAATACTTAAATCTATCGTGAAGTATCGAAGGGGAGATTAAGATTAGAGATGAACGGGCTAGAAAAGTGAAAAAGGTGCCTAAGGAGTGTGCCTAGAAAAAGCTGAAACACAATGATGAAACTGCAACCAACAAGGATAATGAGCATGGTGGTAGTTTGCCAGGGATAAACAATTCAACGGTACACAATGCATGAGGATATGTACGAGTAGCTACCCAGCTACCAGCTGCATAAGAAGCAGTAGACGCACAAGCGATGTAAAGATTGAACCAATGAGCGCACCTGTTCCACATTGTTGGGTGAATTCAGCGTAGAAACAAGTTGAAAGAGTTGTTGCGCAGTCACAGAGTTCAGCGAAGATAGGTCTGAGACAGTTTGATGATGAAGCGGTTGTTCAGTGGAGATAGCCTGCGAGCTAGACGTGTGCGATGGGGAATGAAGCGATGCGAGATAGTCGTGTAACAGCCGGAGCAGCAACTGCGCAGAAACGGGTGGTGTGGACTGCGAATGAACGCCGGAAACAGAAGTAACTTCTCTGGTAGATACCGGTGGTCGGTTTATGAGGGCAGGTTCAATTGCATTCACTGCATCAATTGTTGGATTGGAAGAAGCGGAAGGATGGATAAAGGGTATGGCACCAGCCAAAGGCTGCGTTTGGGAATGCAGCTGCTCCGAGAATGTCCTAATAGGTGCCATGGATGACAGGGTAGCTCGAGTTACAGACTGCTGGTCAGATGGGGGACCGCGGGGCAAACGGCTCGAGGAAGATTGAGGAAGCTGAGCAAAAACCGAAGCCGGATGTGTGAGATGAGAGGGTAAATTTTGGGTAGAGTGTTGGGAACCAAATGCGGACGAACGTCTGCTCGTAGCACACGAAATGGAGCGACTTTCTACATGCGTAGGTAGGTTAGGCATCGTGTAAGTGTCCGAAGTGGGTGATGTATTGACTGAAGCCGGGTATTGTTGCGAGGCGCTGCGCAAGGCAAGGAGTAGGTTAAGCACATCGTCCAAAGTGAGAGTGTCCATGTTCGGGTGAATTGGCAACTCACGAATTTGAATAGAGGAATCAAACTGCTGGCCTAGACGAGCACCATCAGTCACCTCTGAATTAGGGGAGAGTGGCGGACTACAAGTTTTGCGAGTTTCGCTAGGCTGGACAGGGACCACTAGCGCCGGCTTGTTAACACGATGGACCCCGCCATCTGGTGACAAAACGACAGCGGTGTCAATGGGAGTTTGAAACACTCTAGGAACAAGCGACCTGTTCCCTTCCGGCGGTCCATCATCAATAGTGATGAAGACAGGCCCATTTGAAGCGACAAAAGTTGTCACATTGAATGGATTTGCAGGGTCCCTTGAGTTGGGAACACCCAAAAAGATATGTTCAGAAGGGACCTCCAATACTCGGAAGGGTGAGGTTGCGACAGAAATGTCAGAGGCGTAAGGGGTTGGCAACAGTAGTATTGGTCGGTGGCTGTAGTAACACAGCTTGGATATCACCTCTCTGATGACGACCTCTAAAGAGGATGGTATAGTGCAAGTAAGGCTGACTGTTGCGTCTGAAGCAGGCGAGTACGGATAGGGAACAGTAGAAAAAGGACGAGTTCCCTGCTCGCGGGAAGACGATTGGCTCAACTGAGACAGTAAGAGGGGATTATTCTCTGATAGCTGATACGGTGTAACATCACCACGGACAGCAGAAGGTTCAACGGTATTTGCAGCAATTTGAGCGACGGAGTCGTTCAATGACATATGCGAGAGAAGAGACGTGCCAGAAATAGGTGGGAGCAGTGGAGCAACCTCTTCCAACTCAGGCTGATGTACAATTCCTGTGACACCGAATCGATCCAGAGGAAGGAGAGACAGAGAAGATAGAAGTTTATGTATATAATCTAATCCAAGAGCCAAAGATTGCTTTTCCGGGGAAGGGTCGTGGAGAGCCGGTCCACTCACGGGACTGGAGAGTACAGTGGTTGGCAAATGTAAGGGTGGTAACGTGTTGCTACATGAGGAGGCCGTGAAGTATGGGGGAGTCGAGCCAGCCAGAGACGACTTGGTTGTTAATGAAGGAGCTGGGCCTCCGAGAGGTTGTACATGGGTGTCAACGGGTAGATAAGCAGGAGTGGGTCCGTCAGAAGGTGATATGGGTCTAGAAGCTTCGCTGAAGTCCTCTTCACAACGCACTGGAGTAGAAAAGTGGAGAAATGGAAAAATCGACTCACTGTAACACAACTGAATTTGGCTATGAAGTTGTTGAAAGAAAGGCGCTATCCCTCGAAACGATTCATGAACAAAGACAACCGAATGTAGTACGGATTTAAAGGGTATCCATTTAACTCGTGATTATCGAATATCTCTCAACGAACATCGGCATTGTGCATGGATGAAATGTTCCACAAGGAAACGGTAATGCAATAAGATGGAAACTTGAGGTAAGTGAAATAAAAGACCGATGATTCGAACATTCTTACGTACTGAACTCACAAGCTGATTAGGTCAGTACAAAGAATTAAATGAAGTGGGATCTGCTGGTCAAAATGAAAAACTGAAGCAGAGGTCCATTTCACTGTTCGATTGGGACTGAGCAAGTGGAACCACATGAACAAAAGCAAACAAGAGATGGATGCGGACATGCAACCACTGCGTATGAGCCATGGAAAGCAAATTGGAGATAAAGGAGTGATAATCGGAGAATAAGTGAGAAACTGGGTGACAGGGATGATAGACTTGGGATGACTTGGGATGATAGAGGCAATAGAAGTAAATTAAGCTCCACAGAGAAGGGACTTGGTAAAGGTAGAGGCGGTAATCGGTATGCGTATACGTTGTTGGTGAACATAGAAATCGAAACTCAAAAAGAGGTGGTGTAACACGATTACCAGTACATCGTCAGACACGGCACAGCTGTGAATCGGTACGATTGAAAGTGTCTATTTTAAACAGAGGGACGTTGAACGCTTTTCTAGCCAAGGAGTTACGCTTCAGTATTGTTGTTCTCAGGGAATGATTACTTCACAGAATTGATAATGATGTAAATCCCCTCCATCGACCCTCGTGCTCGCTTTTTCGTAGGTAGGTAGGGTTACACGTATTTAATGCCAACGGACATAACATTAATAGCTGTAGTTAAAATGGTGGTCGCGGGTCGGACTGTGAAGAATCAGCCCGTAAAGATGCTGCGTATGGGAGTACTCAAAATATGCGATCGACGTCATGATATTAGGTGTTTCGGCACAAACATACACGCTCCATACTGGTGAGTAGTGCCTGACATGAGAACCGTCGGTTGGTTTTAATTCAGTAAACAAGGCAATTCGTCACCAACAACTGATGCATATTTTCGATTTACTTATCCGTATTGGTACAAGGTCGCACTTACGCTATGGCCAAGTATTAGCATGTAAATAGCGAACCAGGGGCTTCATAATGCTAGGTGAGGTGATCATGTGACACCTACACACACACACTGACCCACACACTTAGGAGGTCTGCTAAGGTTGTTTATGATGTGGGAGACTCACAATAAGTGCCAACGCGCGTAATACCAAGCGCGCACATAGCATGCGGTCGCAAAACAATATCAGTCAAAGGGAAAACATATGAGAGGACTTACTCGTATCCGCAGAAGTTGTGTTGTCCGAAGGGTTACCAGCAGTAAACTGATGCGTCTTCAAATGGGGCGATTCTGACAACGGAGGAGTTGGGATAGCACCAACAAAATGAGGAACGGGAGTTGTTTCATCTTCACCGGTGCGGTAATTGTCAACTGTGAAAGGACCCGAAGTGTTTAAAGACAGAGAAAGGTTAAGAACACCCAAGGAGAGGGAAAAGTAGACGAAATAGACGAATGATGGTCAATTTCAGCGCTCCTACCCATTGAGGTTTGAGAAGACCGAGTGGCCACAAGCACTTCACTGCTGGTGGGATGAATACTCAATGCTCCCGAGTCAGTTGGGGCGCTAGTCGGACCAACGGCCGAAATCGCGGTCTTGGCTGCAGCGGAATCGGCTCGAAGAGTCTCGAGTAGTTGAAGCACGATACGCTCAATGTCTTTATTGGTTAAAGCGTAGCTGGTGTCGTGTAGCTAAAACACAAAACATCAGGAGGATGGGAATATGTTACTATTGGAAACAGGATCGCATATTGTGACGGGTGTGAGTAGAAAAACAGCGTGTCACTTTGACGCAAACATGAGGAGTACATGGATAGTGTGGCAGATCGATTAATGCGACTCTGGCCGAAAGTCAACGCTGAAAAATCGCATTGATGAATCTTGGCGCTAACATTGTTTGAGTGCAGCACTAAATAAATAAACGGTAAAGGGATGGACCGGGAATTTAAATAAATAAATAAATTGGTATATTTGCCGACGGACGGTACACGGCCCCATAAGTGGGAGCGATCATTTATATATATATGTATATACATTATATATTGTATTATATATATATCATATATATTATATTATATATGTGTATATCAGATATAAGAGATCCGCAATGAAACGCGTTAGACGAAAGCAACCAATCAATGGTAACCATGCGGGAAGCATGCGTTAAGGGAAAAAGCCATATCCTGTGACAATAATAGTAAGCAGCTCATGAATGGAAAGGAAGGAATCGAGCTGTGAACAAGTTTTACGTCAAGAATGAAGAAATACCAAGCACCAAAGTTGGTACAACCTGGTGCTTCAACATCCACGGACAAAATTAACCACATCTCGAGACACAAAGACGGCGAATGCTACTGACCGCTACGTGAGTGTGGGCAAAGATGGCGCAAGTGGTACAGATTGCCGTACCCATGTATGCACATGGCAGACATGATTCCCAGTTCGCCCACTTCAAAAACAGTGATCACAGAGTTGCAAAAGTTTTCGCTATTAAGTCGAAACCGTACTCAAATCGATACTAAAAAAGGCCTAACCGAAAGAGAGTATCTGAAGATGTCATTTCATTTTCTTCACGAGGATCCAACTGTTCTGTTACCGTAAGAAAAGCAATATAGTATGCACGAGGTGGACGCGCCTAGATGCATCGCTAGATGTAGCTCAGCAGAGAAGGGACTAAAATCGGCATTCCCCTAACCGCCTGCTGCTTAAGATAAAAAGTCAGCAAGTTCATTCTGAGTAAATCGAGGGTTGTGCACATGGCACGATATACCAATATGAGATCAGAAAGTGCAAATACAAAATAGTGTCTTGGATTTACAGAACAATCGGCAGAAATCGCGAAATAGTAGCAATCATAAAGCCGTTCAATTGGCGAAACAATCAGAAATTGTCTATGTCGATACAAAGGGAAGCAAGGATGAACAGTCTGAGGAAGGAGTGTCAAGGTGACGGAAGTGAAAAAGAGTGACGTAAACATGAGTCCAGTGAGGTATGGCATTTGGGATGAAAGTTGGAGAATTACACTAGAAGACAACGTGTTACGAATCCGTCAAACAATCTGTCCAATGTCGGTGGCACGCCAACGGTCTAGACAAAGGAATCGATCCACCGCATAGTTTCATACAGTCACTAAGTCACACTAAATTGATAGCAAGAATAGGGGGAATCAATTCAGCTGAAAGAAAGTGGCGTCGAGTATGTTAGACTGTTGAGAAAAAGTTCAGAGTCAGCCAAACGGAGACAAAAGTATACCAACAAAAGAACTACCAACCAAATCTCAGTACTGGAGTTAAAAAATCGTGAATTATAATCGGGATTGTAATGGCTGCTTTAGTGGCTCCGCCACAGTTAAACAAGAACGATGAGGGCATAGCTCCTTTAATGATCAGTTCGGAATTCCACATTATGGTTTCCGAGTTGACACATCGAAACCCAAGCACCTAGTGTAGGTGTCAAAGTCGCACGCTTCCCAGGTTGAAAAAATCTATTACGAAAAATGGTTGAGTGAGCGAGTGTAATCATCGGTTGTGGGGATCAAGAGACCCATGTGCACTGGCCATGTGGATCAATGCAGTGTCAAGGAGTAGATACTGCGACAAGAGTGGGTAACGAATACAAATGAGGAAATAAGTGTAGTGATTCATTTTTATCTATCTAGTAAAACCTATGAGAAGTGCAGCGGCATAATATTGATAAAGGTTGTGGACACATGAGGTCTGTAGCACGTTCACGAAGCCTGGACAAAAGTAGGAGGGATTTGCGACCAAGGCATTTGAGCAAACATCTTACCGCACCAAACAAACAGGTCCAAAAGGTGGACTCATCTCAAAGGACACAGTGCTACACTGATCCCAGAGTCTGATATAAACACTACGATGTCCAAGTTTTTGTCCAACAATAAAATGGATATAAAGGTGGAATGAAAGTTGAGTGTAACACATTAAGTTAACGAGGCTCCCATGGAGCCTCATGCGATGCTTTAGGTATAAAATTGAAAACGAACATGGTAATTGACCTTACAAAGTTCAGTCTATCTAGAAAGACGATGGTATCCAGTTGCGTTAGTGACAGTAAGGTTGGAATGCAAAAGACGTGCATACTTTAGGCGGAGCAGTGAAGGGGAAGGCAGGCGGGAGCTGTGACGACACGGGCTGTTGAATGGACTGCGTGGCTGCCTGCGATGAGGAATACCCGGGAACACCGCCAGTACTGGCAGGTGATAAACTAGACCCCGGAAACGCGGTGCTGAGCAATGCCTCGATGACTTGGCTTAGAAGAATTGCTGATTGAGGTAGTTCGGATTGATGTACGGACTGAGGCTGGTGGAATAGAAAAGCAAGGCAATAAGAGGATGATACGCAGTCTACATTGAGACTGCGCGTCGCAATCCATTCACAAAACGAATGCTTCAAAATGATCCCTACAAACCTATGTTCATTTTATCGAATAAAGTGATGAGGTATACACTCCGAAGCCAAGCGACAAGGCCAGCTATAAAACCGATGAAGGTAGTGCCCAAAGATGCAAGAAACTTATGTTCGATGTTGGAACCATGCTTGAGCAACCACGCTCGGAGAGCCCTGTGGACAACCGCAGAAAACAGCGTACACGCTAAGCTGGGGAATACCGAAGGCGTACAACCAATGAGTGATTAGGCTTATTTTCAATTTTCTGACGAACCCCCTAAAATTGAACGTGAGGCATTTTTAGTCGAGGTAAGGGGCACAAACTTATCAGTGAATAGCAACACTTGAGAATCATGTCAGTGAAAGCTGGAGTCAGGTCTAGGAAATGTAAACGATGACTTAGCGAATCATGAGTGACAGGGTGCAATGCAGCACACAAGTATAGTGACGCCGCACCCGGGACCACAACAAAACGCTGTTATCGTGGTTACTGAAGTTAACATTCCTATGTAAAGCAGAGTATTCTAAGATAACGGCAGGTGAGTAGATAACGGAGAAGATAAATCTGTAAATCATCTAGTATTCAGCGGAGAAACTAAAAGAGGTATCGTGACATGCAGGACCCCCCCCCCCGAGTAGAAAGTAAGAACGCAAGCTGAGCGACTTGATGTGAGAAATTGACAGAAATTAGGTGGTTACTGAACGAATTCCAATCTACTTCGCCAGTACAAGCACAAACGCGAAGTTAGTCAAAGCGCAGCCGTTGAGCTGAGAGTTAAACAAGGATGTTAATTCATGATGGTGGAGATCCAGTAGGAATACGTACATGTGACAAGTGTGAGACAACTTGGGGACGAAAAGTGGTTTTAGATGGTGGTAGTGGTACTTTTATGTAGAAGTGGGTGAAACTAAACAAGAACGACAAAGAGATTTACTTCGGTTCGTGCTGCGAGATCGGTGTCCACAGGACCACCTGAGAGGAGGAACAAGAGAACAAATCCAATGAAACGGTAAATAACAAAGTAGCAGCCAACAACACTGAGAGCGTAAAGTTGCGACGAAAACGTTTTACGGAAGGCAACCAGAGTACCCCATTCAAGGAAACAGTGGCAACATATACCTGGTAGTTGGGGAAAGTAACCGACGCACAAAAACTAAGGCTGCTACGCGTCTGGGTCGCAGGAGAAAAGATTGTTCGAAAGGCGCAAATTAAAGCATAGCCACTTGCGTCGATGATAACGATATAACGGAACCTATACTGACGGGTGAACAGGTGATTCCGAAAGATTGAATAGTGATGATTTAGTTTGAAGATGTCATCCAACGAGCATCGTAAGGCATCCAAAACTGCGGTAGTGAACCTATAACCGAGTGACAGACTCGCGCACTTGGACTACGCTGATGATACCAATTCTCTTGGGGACGATCCACAATCGGTTCAGAGCGCTTTGAAGTGCTTAGCGATGGAGGTGTCTGTGGCGTGAGTCACCAGTTGCAATCCGTGTTCACACTCCGCATTGACCATGTGTGTGTGTCGTCTATCGATCACTCACTCATGAGTGGTTTGGTCTCAGTTACTTGATCGATGCTCTGTACACATTTTGGTCAGAATACAGGTTTGTGTGTTGCCGGCTGGTTGTGTTCTGTTGTCTTGGCGTCTTTCGGCTAGGAGCCATTATTGCGTTCGCTGGCTAGCGCCACTTTCGCACGCAGACTAACATTGGCGACGGGAATGTGTGGTGGCCCGTCATTGATAGCGACATAGAAAGATTAACCAGACATTGTGAATCATGTCAAAGTACATAAAGAAACGACCCACCGGTGCCAATGAGTCCATGGAAATGACCCAACAAGCAATGGGAGCGAATATATGCAGACTAGTTCGGTTCGCTTGACGGAAAGATGTTTCTTCTCATAGTCAATACCTATTCCAAATGGATTGAGGTGCTTCCACTGACACACGCCACTTCAGAGACAACTATTTCCTGTATGCGAACATGTTTTAGCACATCGGGTATTCCGCAAACACTAGTGACAGACAACCGCTGTGTATTCACCAGTTCCAAGTAATCCTTAAAAATAACGGAATCAGAGGTGCGAAGACCCCCCTTACCACCCAGCCACAAATGGACTAACGAAAAGAGCAGTTCAGACAGTAAAAAACGGGTGGGAGAAACAATCATGCGCTCCACTCCGAACGAAGTTGGACAAATTTCTATTTGCTAACCTCTCCACTTCGAGTGAAACGACAGGCAAGAGTCCAGGCAAACTGATGTTCGGCCGAAGGCTTAGGGCGCAGCTAGACATTTCCGATCAGAGACTACGCGTCGAGGTACGGCAAGAGAAATCACAGCGGAGGTACGACCGGAGCGAAAACTCCATGAGGACATACCAGTTTACGTCAAGCTGCCCCATAAGGCGACTTGGTAACCTGCAGAGTTATGCGAAATAGAAGGCCGGAGAGTGGTTGCACTATCGGACGGCAAGATGGTTGCCCATCAAATGGATCACGTCCGTCGTCTTTCCGTTTCAATCGGACCAGACGACATATTGCCAAGCCCGCCAACCGAGCCAGTGGTCGCAGAGTCCACACAGACCACAAGCAAACCAGAAGTTCAACAAATGGGCCTCTCCTCAAGAGTCCGCCATCCAGCTGATTGTTACAAGGTTACCTGGGGAAGTTCCACTTAAGGGGAGGAGAAATGTGGCGTTTGAGTCACCAGTTGCAATCCGTGTTCACACTCCGCATTGACCATGTGTGTGTGTCGTCTATCGAGCACCCACTCATCAGTGGTTTGGTCTGTTACTTGATCGATGCTCTGTACACGTTCTGGTCAGAATACACGTTTGCGTGCTGCCAGCTGGTGGCGTTCTGTTGTCTTTGGGTCTTTCGGCTACGAGCCATTATTGCGTTCACTGGTTACTTCCGCACGTTTAAACCTTAATAGTGTCCAAATATGGTCTGTATTTAAATGAATTTAAATGCAAAGCACTACGCCAGCATTGGCAAATGCCCGTGCTTGCCCTCACCATTGCTAGTGAAGTCCTGGAACAAGTCCCTTGCTTCACTTATCCAGGGAGTTGCACCACAGCTGCCGACGGTGTTAGAGATGAGATCTCACAACGGATCGCAAAGGTCCGTCTTAACTTCATCAAACTAAGACACTAGTAGCGTTGTCGAGACATCAGTCTCAAGATCAAGGACACAGTGCACATTGCTTTTGTCCGTACGATCCTGTTGTACGGCAGTGAGACCTGGCCTATTCGCCCGAAAGACAAGAAGCGATTGTCAGTTTTTGATAATCGTCGTTTGAGTAGGATTGCTTGCGTGTGGTGGCAACACATGACGTAAGCAACAAAGAAGTCAGAATGGGAGTGTTTGGAGAAAACACCCCATGCCTCCAAAATGATTTTCTCCGACACCGCATGCGTTGGTGCGGCCACGTATTGCGCATCCCAGCCTATCGCCTTCCCCACCAAGCGTTATTTGTGGTGTCCGGAAGCAATTTTAAAAGTGCACCGGTGAACAACCAGTGACGTGGAGGAGCAAGAAGAGAGCAACTTCACGCTTAGCATCCGTCGGACCAGTTCGTCTTCCAAGAAGGGGACCAAGTGACACGGAAAGCCAATAGTTGGAAACGCTGGAGGATACGGCACGCAACAGAATTCAGTGACGACAAACGCATCGTCCGTTGGTTAATGTATACTCGAAGGTAAAAAAAAATACAAAACACAAAACAAGCAAAATTGTGCGTGCAAAACCCAAAAAGTAGTTTTCTGCAATTGTATCTCACTTCCACCGTTATTGCAATGGTTCCGATAGCACAAACTGTAATGCAATTATGAAAATACAACATTTTCACTTTAAATTGGACGTTTGGCAAAACACTTTGGACATTTGGCAAAACAAAATAGATCTTTTACGAATCACATTGGACATGTTGGATTTTGAAGCTGAAACTCAGCAATTCTCTTGCAATAAATGAGGAGCAAGACAACTAGACGATGTTCAGACTGCATTGTGGTCATGCTAATGCAACCGAAATGTGTAACCAGCGGGTGCCACTGCAAACTCTTCTTTTGATCGTGAACCTCGATCAAAGGCGGTGACTGAGTATCCCCTGTCTCCTCATCCGCCTTCTCGTAGTCTATGTGCTTCCGATTGCACACATGGACCTGTGTGGCTATGTGAATACTGGAAAGTCAGACTCCCCAATCGCGTAGTCTATCATGATCTAAACAAATGTTACCTAGTATGGGAGGGTTGTTGCGAAGCACTCGTCTTGAGAATGGATTACGATGCGCCATCTCAATGTGGACCGCGATTGTCACTGAATTAAACCTTGGCCAATTCGATCACTTGGACCGCAACTGATGAAGCACACACGCGGCGAGCCAGTTATCCCGTCACTCTATGGACCATCGCGTGTTTTGTGTGGGCCAACATATCGAGCTGCTCGATTATTGGATCAGTGCAAGGTCAGCTTGACTCCACCAAACACAGTATAGCTTTATTGCCCTACTGCTGTAAATCGTTATCAAAGAAAGGGGCTTAAAAAGAGTGGACGATGTTCAGACCACATTGTGCTCGCACGAATGCAATGGGACTGTGCAAGCAGTGGGAAGTGGTGCACGTCCTCTTCTCGATTATTGGCGCTGTTTACCTCGAGCAAAGCCGACGACTCAGTTGTCCCGTGTCGCTCTTAGCGCTTTGCGTATTTACTGTGGGTGTATGCGTGAACCTATGCAGTGTTATCACTGGAACACTGTTGGCTATTATGAATCCACCTAAGTCAATCTAACGTTATTGGTTTACAGCCGTAGCTTGTTACAAGTTCAGGGGAGTAAGGGGGCTGTACGATATTCAGGTTACATTGCGATTACGCGGATGCAACGTAACTGCATAAGCATTGGGCGTTTGTACAATCCATCCTCTGGATTGTGAGCGTCAATCGTCTCGATAAGAACAAGTGACTCAGTGGTACCTTGTCATTCTATGGGCCTTTGCGTACCTTATTTGGGTGTGTGGGAGAATCTATTAAGCTGCTCGAATATTGGAACAGGGTAATTGCAGTGTGTTATCCAAGAGGGGAGTAAAGGGGACTGGACAATGTTCCCGCCACATGTTAGTCATGCGAATGCAACGGGAGTGTGAAAGCAGTCGGCGACTGTGCAAACCCTCTTCTTGATTACTGATGTCATTCACCACAAGCAAAGCCAGTGACACTATATTCCACTGCTGCTCTATGGACATTCGTGTATTTCCTGTGGGTGTGGGGCGAACTTATGTATTGCAATTATTGGAACAATGTAAGCTATCATGAACCCACCAAAACCAGTCTAGCTTTACTGGCCTACTGTTGTAGCTTGTTATCGAGGGCAGGGGAGTAAGACGACCAGACAATGTTCGAGCCACATTTTGCTCATGCAACTGCAACGGAACTGTGCAAGCAGTGGGCAATGGTGCAAGCCATCTTCGTGATCATAAACGTCGTTCACCTCCATCGAAGCAGGTAACACAGATGGCCTTGCGCCTTATGGGCTACCGCGTATTTTATGTGGATGTGTTAGTGAAACTACTCAGATACACGATTATTAGCTCATTGGGTGCTATCATGACTCCACTGAACCCAGCATAGTTTTATTAGCGTAATGCTGCAAGAAACGGCAAAAATGAGCGATGAACGACAATCGCCTACTGGTTACTCAGTTCTATTGCATTCGAATGAACAAAATGTGGCCTGCACATTGTCTAGTCACCTTACACACTCGAAAGTTCTTAAGCATACAACGGGACTTGTTACGCATTGCTTTCTTACCCGTAATACACCATTGTTCCACTGTTCCTTGATAAGAAACTGCAGCATTGGGACAATAAAGCTAGGCTAGGTTCGGTGGTCATGATAGCCTACACTGTTCGCATTGTTCTGTAGCTGTATAGGTTCACCTACATAAGATAGGTGGAGCCCCATAGAGGGACAGGAGAATCCGGGTCAACGACTTTAATTGAGGTAAACAGCGCCAATAATCGAGAAGAGGACGTGCACCACTTCCCACTGCTTGCACAGTCCCATTGCATTCGTGCGAGCACAATGTGGTCTGAACATCGTCCACTCTTTTTAAGCCCCTTTCTTTGATAACGATTTACAGCAGTAGGGCAATAAAGCTATACTGTGTTTGGTGGAGTCAAGCTGACCTTGCACTGATCCAATAATCGAGCAGCTCGATATGTTGGCCCACACAAAACACGCGATGGTCCATAGAGTGACGGGATAACTGGCTCGCCGCGTGTGTGCTTCATCAGTTGCGGTCCAAGTGATCGAATTGGCCAAGGTTTAATTCAGTGACAATCGCGGTCCACATTGAGATGGCGCATCGTAATCCATTCTCAAGACGAGTGCTTCGCAACAACCCTCCCATACTAGGTAACATTTGTTTAGATCATGATAGACTACGCGATTGGGGAGTCTGACTTTCCAGTATTCACATAGCCACACAGGTCCATGTGTGCAATCGGAAGCACATAGACTACGAGAAGGCGGATGAGGAGACAGGGGATACTCAGTCACCGCCTTTGATCGAGGTTCACGATCAAAAGAAGAGTTTGCAGTGGCACCCGCTGGTTACACATTTCGGTTGCATTAGCATGACCACAATGCAGTCTGAACATCGTCTAGTTGTCTTGCTCCTCATTTATTGCAAGAGAATTGCTGAGTTTCAGCTTCAAAATCCAACATGTCCAATGTGATTCGTAAAAGATCTATTTTGTTTCGCCAAATGTCCAAATTGGTTTGTAAAAACTCCATATTGTTTCGTAAAATATCCAAAGTGTTTTGCAAAAGGTCCACTGTGGTTAGCAAAAACGTCCAATTTAAAGTGAAAACTATATATATATATATATATATATATATATATATATATATATATATATATATATATATATATATATATATATATATATATATATATATATATATATATATCTTGTTGGAAAACATACAACGGAGATAAGCCCAGAGTCCTACTTAGTTTAGCAAAGGAGGTCGTTAAGAGCAGGGATAAATGCAATGATTAAGCGGACTAGGGCTAGCCAAATAAATAGTTAAAAACAGCCTCGTATGAAGAAACGGAGAAATCGGTGGAGCTCTTTCAACTGGTCAGAATTCTATTATTATTATTCTATTATTATTATTCATGCAACAACTTGGCAGACTAGCGCGTCGTTCGTTGAGTACTCTGACATTCATACAATCGTCAAGATAGCTGAGCTCGCTGTACGTTAGCGCTCGGATAGTACTTGATTGAGGAAAATGTATAAAACGGAAGCGCTTGCAAATACTGTCAAGGAACAAGTCGAGGGTTGTAGCATATCAGTGGCATCAATATAAGAGAGCAATTCGATGGTGAATAATTCAAATGTCTGTAGTAAGCTACCGGATCGCGAGAATGTGTGCTGATTGTCCTGCGCATTCACTCATCAAGAGGTATCCGCAAATATAGCAGTGGGAAGGAGAATAATCCGTGATGAATAGAATTCAGCCTTACTCGTGGACGAAGTGGAGCTTTGTTGCCTATACTGGGCGGAAGTAACAGTCGGCCCCTGCATATCGAGCATTGGGGTGGAAGTGTGTGGATGGGATATGGCAGCTTCAGCAGGTTGCTCAGAAAATAATTTCGGAAGCTGACCAGATGGGGTACCACTCATTAAACCGGCGCTGAGGAGGTGACTATGCAATAAGGCGAGGTCCTGATTAAACAAAGAATAGAAAAGAGGAGGATTGCTGGAGCGCGCAGAGGTTACTGAGTGGGAAATGTTGAGGAATAAAATTGAAGTGAAGGACAGCAGCTCAAAAGTTGCTTAAAGACGGCAAGTTCCACTAGAGATCAAAATGTTACCGCACAGACCAATCTAGTAGCATCGACGTGTCAATTAGCTAGCTGAGATAAACACAAAAAGTAAACAAGGGGGATAACTGCAAAGATAAGCAGATCGTTCAATGACTAGTATTCGTCTTCTACCACTTGACTGATCGTAGTCACCTAGGGAGAGGAGGTAAGACAAGGAGACGCGCGACAAAAAAGGCAGCAAAGCAGTACCAAGTGGCAAGAACCTATTTGTGCACACATATAAACACCAGATAACTGAAAAGGCAAAACTATAGTGAAAAACCTCACTTGTACATAGCAATGGGAATTTATGGAAGCACTAATGAAAAGGAGGAGAGTGCGGCTTAATCTGCTTGGAAAAAAGCAACCTAAGATTGTCCGTGATATTACTAAAATATGCGCACAGTGTGATGGATAAATTGCTGTGTGGTCATGAGTAGAAAATTAATACAGAGAGGCGAAACGCAACTAAAGGTGGTGGTCCATGCATCCTCCAGTAAATCAACTAAGAGACTGACTTAAGATGGTCGGATCAGTGTTCGCCGGTAGGGTGATAGCATAGTGGAATGTGTGTCCAGAAATTGGCTATAGCGAGTCGTACAACGTGCAGGAGACAGCAACTTGGGGTGGTCAATGAGAAAGAGTGCAAAAGGACTAATGTCAGTGTGTTTCAACGAGTTAAAACAAGTAAAAATGGTGAAAATACGTCTAGTTAGCGGTCTGAGAATCACCCAGAGATAACAGAGAAAAAGAGGGTGCATTAGCTTAGTAACTTCCGAAATTATAGTGCTCACACACGTTTCAGGAGCATGATGGTGGGCCAATACATTGTAACAGGCAGTAAATACTAAAAACGAGCGGAAAGAATAAGTCGCTGACTTTGAGTAAGACGAACTGGTGCTACCGACTAGGCTGTACCTATAAATCTTTACATCGAAAATCCGATAACTGAAGACGCCAGATTGAAAGAAACCAATGGGAAAGCAGTGGTGGTTAACTACCTGAGGAGTAAAATGTACCGCATTTGTAGTAGCCGGTGGATGAGCAGTTTGAACAACTCCAGAGGTAGCATTGGCCGCCACTTGCTCCACAGTGGTAGCAATAGCTGCTGCCGGAACCAGCATCGGATGCTGCTGTTGCTGTTGGGATGAGGACTGCTACATTTGGTGTAGTGAAGTGAATAAGATCCCCGAGGATGGCACAAAAGCGGGAGAGCAGCAGGTTTGCACGTATCAGAGAAAAAAAGAAAGACAGATAAAGGTCAAAGTTGAGAAGAGTTTCAATTAACCACTACAACAGCAATCGCTGTAAAGGAGTCGATAGAAACCAAAAGAGGCAGAGGGGTTCCGATGTATCTCGCACCTAACACGGACACCCCACGATCGGTTTTGTCCTCGGTTGCACTCATCAGGTACCGAAAGAGGTAGTATGGCACAGCAGGGACAGGCGGTGAACCTGCACTCAAATGGATGTGCTAGAAGTTTAGACTCAGAGTTGAATCATGTGGATTGCTTAAACAATTTTGGATAGATAAATCGCGAGAAAATGCAAATTTGATCCCCGGAAAACAGTGTCGTTTAGGTGAATGTAAAATTTCCTAGGTAGCACAAAGCAAATGAAAAGCAAGAGAGGTGATAAAAGACAAAAGAATCAAGACACCTCGAAAACAAAAGGAAATAAAACACAGTAGTATTTCTCAAGATGTGATGTGGACGCACCTAAATGCAGTAGTCAACCAGAGGGGACGCACCCAGGTTGTCAGAAAACCAGTTTGTTGTCCAGCAGATGCGTACGAGTAAAAGCGGGATAGTCTTTGCCGCGTGGTTTGCTAAACAGATGATTATTATCGCAACAACTGTCACACGTTTATCTTCAGGAAGACGGAAGAGCCGATACATAAACTAAACTGACAAACTTGATCCTGTAGCTTTATGTGACACGTCAAGCGGCAATGATATAGTAAGACAACCTGTTAGATGAGGAGTGAGGAAAACGGTTAAGACCGAGGCTACATGCTAAACAGCCTAATACGGAAATACTTCCCAATGAAGATAGTTCGTGTGAATACTTAAGCTGTGATGCCCAGTGTGCGTACAGTGTCAACACACACACACACACAGCCAGTGCGCTATGGACGAAGCCCTGGCAAACCCAATCGGACGATGATAACTAACACACGGCGTACCTATAGCATGAAAAGGGCATATGGATACACAACGGTGCTCCCAATCCCCAATCCTGTGATTACAGGTTTGAATTCGCAGAGAAACGAAGATGATAGTTCAGTTCAACTAAGCAACTACGACCGCCGCAGAAAAGTGCAATGGATACAGATGGCATTCGTTGAACAGCTATTAAGAAATAAGAGAAAATAGTAGACGGGAAACCAGTACAATCAGATGCACAGAAGTCCAAAGGAAGAGAGGTGAGAAAATAGTCACAATTGTCGGATGAAAGTGATAGGAGTAAAAAGATACTAGATTCAGAGGCGCCGATTATGTGGCAGTAGCGAGTAACTAAAATCAGCGTGCTGAATTGGGGGGAAACCAGCTGCCTCGACTTAAATCCCTGGAGACAATAGCACTTTCGTACTATTGGTTGAATTCATTAAGGCTATACTTAATTAGACGGAAATCACATGTTTGAAAGACATTAGAAGAGCACTTCGTCTCCCAAGACTCGCTTGTAATTAATAATAAAGATAAAGATAATAAAAAGGTCTGTAACCACTGATGGGGCCGATCGTTAAGTCCCACACCGGAGGGGAATAGGCATCAGCTCGATAAAACTTCTCGGTCAACTGTTTCGTGTCTTTCGGTAACTCTATAGACTGACAGATATGTGGCCTCATCGAATCAGGCACAACAAAGGCAAAAGGTACGCGGTGAAATACCGTAAACAATGTAGGCGTAACGAATTCAGCAGACAGTCTAATGCGGTGTCAGATGAGCTGTCGCCAAAAGCCAAAGGGCGGAAATCAGAAGTAGTAATTCGGTGCTCCCAACCAGCTACGCACGATGTCATGCAGATACCTGTGGCAAGAAACGATCAATCGCATAATATATGATGAACACGGGGTTCGCGTCTAGGTTTCACAGAGCGTTTTCTGAAGGCAATAAGCTTGTCTTGTGATCTGATGGCGCGGGTTCGAGCCTGCGTAGGAGCAGGGCGACCCTCGTAGTATCTTTAGACGACGCGTGAACAGTGGTGGTTATGAGGCAGCGAAGCGTCGGTACTGCGTATCGGCATAATGCTGATGCCTTCCACCGAGCGAAACTGATGATACTGCAGCGGTGAACCCTGTGCTATTGACAAACCGACATTCCACTATCCAACAGATGATTGAGGTTTGAAATATCACACTGATCTTACCAGTGAGCTCTAACTCTTTTGGGCGACTTGATCACCCGAGAGAAATAAAAAGTGAGCTAATACGTCAACTCGAGTGTGTATGTTAGTGATGAGAAATGATGTTATGTCAGCCAAGTTGTCCAACAGCGAAATGTACACGTGCCGAATAATACACGATGCTGATCTAGTTGATCCAGAGATGCGCGCATAAGAGAGTTATAAGGTGTCGGCACTCCACAAGAGACAGAACAAAATCGTTCTTAATCACTGTGTTCATAACGCTAAGGAGAATGAGAGACTTGGGACAAATATGGTGGTGGCCATCGAAAAAAATGATAAGACCCATGTTCAAAACTAGCACATACATCAACAAGACGAGTTGGTTGCATGCAGATGGGGTTGAGCGAGCAACTGACAACTGTTGCAGTCCGATCACCAATAAAGAAGTTGATTTGTCCCGAGACGATTGAAAAACGCGGTTCCCCACGTCGACTACTGCGCCGATACATGAAAACAGGTACAGCATGTGAATAAACATGCATCTGTTGCAGTTCCAAGATCTTTTTCAACACCACTAGTTTCATCCGCTCACTAGATTGGAAATCACATTGCCAGTCTTCGATGAGCAGCAAACAAAGCAGGTACAAGACATGACATTCAAGATCACTGAGTAACGTTATGCAAAGAAATGCACCCCTCCAAGTGCGTCGTTTAAGAAAGTTGAGCACGTAAAGTGCACAAGCATCGCACCATTAAGTGCGTTATGCGTCATGGCAGCAAGACAGCAAAAGTTTGGCAGATGCCAGCTCAATAGCCGGCAGCCCATCCGAACCCCACACTCGTCTGTAGTTGACCGGAGTGGGAACTTCATCACATGTCGAACGTACGACTGAGACGGATGGGTCATCGTTCCGTGTGATAGCGATACCGTTGTGTAACATACAACCTAGGCACGCAGTATCACATGGGATCTTCCGCGACACAATTATTTTTCTTTGATCTTTCAATAATTAGATTGACCGCCGACAAATGAACATTACTCTAAGTACAGAGTCCTGCTTCTTCGATTGTGACAATGCTGACGATCAGCCAATGAAGCAGCCTATCGTTCGTATCCTTGGAAGTAAGTGTTGTTTTCAATGAATCAATGCATTTTACCGCATATGATCCAAAAAACGAAGTGAAACATACCCGATTATCTTAACGATAGTGCTACAAAAAGCGAATGTAAAAACATTATATAATTATATAAACAAATAAATATTGTATTTCTCGACGATGCGAGAGACTATGTCCACATAGGGAAAGATGGAAATATTTACAGACTTTTTTTCATTCAGCCCCCGCTATATTTCAGATGGGAATATGCATTATGTTATATCCATGTCAGTTTCACACACACGTTGTTCAGGGTGAAGTGCAGAAGATTGTACTGGCGTTATTATATCCTCCGTTAACGGACGTCCCGTCGATCTGGACCAGCGCAGTCTGACCAGAACAAGGAAATGGGACTTTCGTGGATGAGCCATTCATCAGAAAATGGAAGGAAAGCGCTGGATTTATCGGTTAGAGAAATCAGCAGGTGGGAGTACCTACCGCCGCGTAGTGACGAAAATGATTAGTTCCATCAATGAAATCATACGTAATATGTGCAGCAGTGGTCATGCCGATGGTTAAAAAGAAGTACGTTGTAGTCCAGGAATAAACAAACCACTAAATAACGATGCGCGGTGAATGGAGTGCGGTGACCGGATTAGGCTTGCAAAAATAAACAATAGAAGTTTGAAAATGTCTTCGGTCATGCAACCAAAAAACTCCCATGCTCTGAAATAAGATCAGTAATTGATTAGGTGGGAATAAATCAGTTAAAGCATGCGAGATAACACTACCCGACCAATCCACGGAATTTGTCTACTTCACATAGCGAAAGTAGTAGGGTTGGAGAATTATGCTGCCAAAGATGAATGTGAACTGGCCTTACTAAGCATGTCAACCACGAAAACGGCGCACCAAGGTATGCAACAATACTAAATGTTGACAACGATACGAGATGTACGACAGATAGCAGCCTGAGTTTGTTTAATGGTAGTAAAAAGAAAGTTCATGACGGGCAGCTGAAGGTAATTACAAAGAAGGAAGTGTAAACGAAGTGCTGGGAGCAATAAAGCGCATAATGACACTGCTCGATTTTGCTGACGCAAAGGAACGTGCAGTCATCGGACAGACTCGGTGAGATAACCCGAGCGAAAAGCGAAGACTCGGGTAGGAAAGCAAAGTGAGGGGCGGCCAGCCACTGTTTGTGGTAATCAATTGGTTAAGTAACATGCTAATCTGATTCACCGCCGTAAAAAAAGCCCTATCAAATAATCGTCCTGAGGAGTGTAAAAACGCGGGCACCACGAGTATCAGAGTTGCCGGCGGTAAGCATCCGTAACGAAACCGCCATTTGTTCTGCGCTGATGATGTTCATTTGACTGACGACGAAACATTTGATGTCGAATAGCCCAATTCAGTGAACAACACAAAAACGTAGTGAGAGATTTTCGCATGAGCTAATCCGTAGTGTAATTCATCAAATAAGCAACTAAGTGAATCTTTGAGTATGATTTCAGAACCTCAGTAATTTTGCGCATTTGTTTCTTGACTGGTATATCATTCTCGAGGTTTGGGGGAAAGAAAATGCAAATAGCCGATGCTCGCAAGACCAAGTATAATGTGCAATCAAATACCTCACACTCGAGGCCATTATTATCGCGATCGACGACGCCCGCCATTCTGTGTCCAGAAACAGCTGGCAGTGGTATTAGGCCTGTCGTGATAGCGTGTAACGCACCAATCAGAATGACACCAGTCAATTTCAGGTAACCTTATTTTGGTCCCTTTCTTATTTGCCTGCACGTGACCGACAGGAACGCATGAAATGACAATATCATCCCACAATCTTCGTCTTCTGATATTCTTATTTGGTACTACAAAGGGAATTTTATGTTTCGAACAGTAACTGTGTTAAAGTTCCAAAGTTCCAGTAGGTCAGTCCGAAAGATTAACGCAATGCTGTGACATTGCCATAGAATTAAGCGACTCGGTGAACGAAGTGCGCATCTTCACAATGTCACATCACCGCAAACATTAGGATGATGGGTGCGTACCAACACTCCGTGTAAAGACAGGGCACCAAAGATATCCATCTCCAAACAACCGGGTGTCAACAAGAGTGGGAAGGGTTAGCAAACGGGCAATAAAATACGTAGCCCACGACCACAGTACAACTAGCAATACCCAATATACTACATAACGAAAGTGAAGGGGGGATGACAAAAAACCGACATAATGTATCTAATGAGTACAAGAAATTCAGCGGGTGGGTCGTTGCACTTGGCCTACGGGACGATTGAATTCTATGTATACTGTCACCACGAGCTCATGCCATGGAACCACAACCAGGTAAAGATTTACATGGTTTCAATCGGTAACTGGTGTCACAGATGCCCATGAGGTCAACGCCGATAAAATAGTGAACGGACGCTGCGCATACAAGAGGCTCTATTGCCTACTGAGCAAGCGTTACGGCCCATACATCGGTGGTCAGTTAAGACTGCCTAAGGTGACAAAATGCATGTGGTACCATGGTTAAACAGAATGACGCTATTATGGCGATGTGAACCAAAGCACCCATGAAGATGAGATGTAATATGAAGCTAGGATGGTGATAGGAATAAGTGACTCTTCCATCAAGGTTGGGCAGAGATATAACATAAAAATAAGCCAGCACCATCTTCAACCGAATAAGATGAAAAGTGTTTCAGACGGAAATCGCGTTGGTCGGTCATGGGTTTCGAACTAAGCCCTAAAGCATAATTTATAAGTGAATGAAAATGGTTTATCAATAAACCGACCTCACAGTGGTGATTGTGATGAGAATAAGCTAACTGGTCACATGCAACCGTCCAATCAGTAGCAGGAAGAGAAGGAAGCAAGTAAGTTTGCGGTTTTAGAGCAAACCTACTTTAAATTCAGAGAGCTCTATTCAATTGAAGGAGTCAAAAATTGATTAACTGTTGACTAACTGTTAAGGAAAGTAAATGCAGACTCTACATACGAAGAGACTAGTGCTGTCCTAGCGAATATCAGAAGAGACCAAAAACACAAAGCTGGGATGACCGAGTGCGGCTAACGTATTGGCACTGTAAAGATGGTACTCACTGTGCCGGTCGAGCTGTATGCGCTAAATATCTACGTTTCTTCTTAGCCATATGTACTAAATGTTGACCGAGAGAGGGTCACGTCCTGAAACGATCTTTGACTAGTAATTCGTGCATGTCCACACCACGTGTGTTGATGCGGCAAATCATATGAGGAATAAGGTCACTGAGAGCAGATGGCAAAAACAGAATGTTTACCCACTACACTAATGGATATACTAACTGACTCGCTCTATGGAAACATCAACGAAAATAGTGCCCTTAAACGCTAAGGTATCGCGTTCGAGCGAAAGAAAAATGTAAACTTTAGTGGACGCGCTAAATAGGCAGCTACTAGCAGTCATCGCGTGCATAGAACCAAAAATGCGGCATTGAACACAACCAATGTAGGCGCAGGGACCGCCGGGTTGAAACTTCCTGCTCCGCTGTGTAATGTACTGATGAATCCCACATGAGTGTCGATAAATACGCAAAAGGCACTACTCTCGCAAAAACATTCGGCGTTGTAAGACCTTAGTGTATTTGGTTAATCAATATAAGATGCCTCATGACGGAGAACAAACTGTTGGTGTGAAGAATCGCTGAAGTCTTCATAGAAGTCGCACGCAAAATGCCCGTGTGAATGAAAATCGAACGCCATGAATAACCTTGAATCGATCGAAGAAGAGAACGACCACCCCAACCGAAAGTGATGATTAAGTGTAAACAGAGGGAGTTGAATCAGATGAGTGTTTGCCAATCAGGGTATTCTTCAGCAACCCAACACCAGGCTGGGTGAAACCCCGAAATGATTATCTAATGGATTTAGAACAATCTCACAGAAAATAGGTAAGTGCAAGCTATTTGCACGGAGGTGGCCATCGGGATGAGTAACATTGGCCGCTAAGTACAGCATTGGATATGGTACGGTTACGGTGTCAATAGCACACTTGCATTCGTTTCTTTGTATATGGCTGTTAGCTCCCATCTGGCGACTCTAATTCATGTCCACCATTCTAAAAATTGCAATACAATATTGTAATACTATTATGCTGGTGATGTGAGCCAGATTAACAAGATTTACTGCACCTTAGTACACGGATCAAAAATAATAAACTAGACTAAACCGAGCTCCACTCAACAACCTAAAACAGAACCGAAAATGGGAGTGTAACAGCTAGTTACTACGACTCAGGCCGTCGTGAGAACAAAAAGGAGATTACCGGCGGTAGGAAAACGCAAACCGACACACAGACAAAAATCTCGCCAAAAAGTTGCAACAAGGAAAAAATCGAACTATATTGGAGAGTTTCAGCAATTGAACTATGCCGCATAAGGCAGCCAAATTCGGAAGTAGCTCCTATCCAGACAAATCTCGACGAATTTATCATACCACTTAGCCACCACAGCAGTAGAACACCTTGGGAGCCCCACCAAACGCAACAACAACAACAACAACAACAACAACAACAACAACACAAGAGAAGATTCGTCGACGAATCTTAGCAAATACCCAATAAATCCCCCTACTACTTACAAACTACATAAGTGTTGCTGTTAGAGGGACGAATCGATCGAGTCTGACGATCGATCGTTGGTGCAAGCTGCCCTAACCAGATGCGCAAATCTACCGCATTTGAATGGATTTCTGTGATGGGGCTGACAATTGGGGCTATTGGAACAGCCTGCCGCAATGTGGTCGATCAGGTGATCGATCGAGTGGGTAGGTGAGTTTTAAAATCACAGTTAGCTGTACTTTGCCTGAGACCTGTAAATAGTTTGCGTGCAGAGTCGGTGCGAGTTCTTTCGGTAGACGCGGCTGGGTGAACTAGGCACAAAACAATTTCAATCTGTGATTCAGTGTAGACCTACATAAGTTCACTAGTTAAATTCCACACAAGATGTGAACATAACTGAAGTTCATTGGTTTGTATCATACGTCTTTATGATTCGCAATGGCCTCTTAGGACAGATACACACTCCGATTGCGGCTCGTCTCGTATTCTCACTACCGTTAGTAGGTGGAAGCAGTCGCGGGGCCCGATACAATAATTGCGAAAGTTAAGCAACGGTTCACCGTATTAGTAAACGAAGTATCAAAAAAAGGTGGCACATTCAACAAGTGCCCAGACGCAAGCCAACTCTTATCTTACATGTGCATACCAGAAAGACAAAAAAAGAATCATATACGTAGGCTAAAAATTTGCACGACCAGGAAATACAACAAATCATTAAATAAAAAACTAGAAGGTACTTGGAATGCGATTACAGAGGAGGAATATTAGTCTGAAAGCCGGGTAACTACGCCTTTGAATGATAGAGCGAGTAGCGTATACTCCGGAGCCTTTCAAGAAAGGAAAACATTTCCATTAGGTTACGAGGCAAAATACCGTGAGATGTGACTTGACAAAGACGCTTATTAGGTCACGCTACCGAAATGAACACTAAAATGATGTGTACGATATCAAGTGACTGACCAGTGGTTCAGGAAGACCAGCGGCAGTGGATTTCGGTAAAATGGCAGCAAGAGTCTGCATGAGTTGTTGTAACAACATCGTCGATTGGGCTATTGAACGGGTACTTGGAGGCGTTGCGACAGCTTCTGATTCTGGTTTTGTGGCACTTGCATCGTGCGATGCTGACGGGAAGGCAACTGAAGGCTGCTGTGACGGTTGGACCGCTGTCATCAACGGAGAAACAGTCGCCTGGTAAACACCCAAACCTGTCTTCGAGGAAGTTGCGGACAAAGCAGGCCCTGCGCATGAGTCAGTGGGAGGCCGAACAGCTGGAATAGACGAATCCTGTACGGAGAGCAAGTTATGGCTGTAAGATGCATCCGGTTGACTCGGTGGTTGGAGGAAGAATGCTGACCCGTCAGTTGCTTGTGGTCGCAGTCCAAGATGTTGGGTTACACTTGGTCTAGCGGTGCCGTCTAATGGAGGTGTCGATGCAGAATGGATCGTCACAGCAACTGGCGTAACACTTGATGGGACCGCGACCGAAGGTGTGGTGATACTAAATTTCCCAACAGTCGCTACATGAACCGTAGGAATGGGTTCTGACGTATCCGGAAGTAAAGTTGGTTCTACTGTGATAGGCGCGTTGGGCTGTGCGGGAAGAGGTCTAGGTAACTGACTTACAATAGTCGAGACGACGCTGGAAGTCAGTGTTGAACACTGCGCAATACTCTCTGACTGTGCAGTGGAAGTAATAGTGGAAGCACCAGAGGCAGGGTTCATTGAAGTTATCCCTGGAGTTGGAACTTGAGCGACGCCAGTATTGACAGGGGTCCGGTTACGATAAGCCTGAATCTCGCGCTCCAGTAGACGTTTAGCACGAATCCATTTGGTTTTGTACTTTCCGATGATTGTGAAACTACTAGCTTCACCTAAATCGAAAAAGACATGATAAGGGTCTGGAACGAACGAGACAAAAAGGTCAATATTCGTCAGCCAAGGCAGCGAAACGAAAAAAGGAGAGGGTGCGCAGCGAATACAGTCCAAAGAGTAAACGCACAATAGCACAGAAGAAATGGCAGCTATGATATAGCGAGAGGTATAGCCACTTAATTGCTCTAGACATATGACGGCAAACGGATAAAGGGAGCAAACATGTGAAGTTGCCTCATCCCGTGTCAATAATGTTGGGGCCATTGTGCAAACAGCCGTAACCGCAGCGTGGGAGGTGAATAGATCAGTGAAACATGGGTGCTTGGCGGGACTCAGAAATAACGTCAAACATGAAGACAGATTTTGTGTTTAATGAAGCTGGGAAACGTGGTCCGATGGATCGAACAAGTGACACTGGGGCAGGAGACGGTGCCGTAGATCATATTTCAGAGAAAGCGAAAAATCGGTGACTGACTGAAAATTGTACGCACTGTTCAACACTGGATGAATCCAACGTAGTAGACAGGGTCCGATGAATCGAAAACCATTTTATCAAAAAAGTGAAGATTTTGTTTTAAAAATACGAAAGGGATTCCGATTAAAATGATCGAGCTCTGCACAAAAGAAAATTCGTAAAAGGTCTGTTTGTTCACACACCTTTCTTGATCAAAACGCACTGGTCTAACCGGGTAGCCAAAAATAAAATAATGGTAATCTGATGATGAATTTTATGCAGTCAGTTTGACAAGGAGACAGCAGCAGTATCTCCGTGAAGTTTTGGGTCTCGAAGGAGTGATGAACCAATACCGAAGATTCAAAAAAGTTGATGACTGCGACTGACATTGCGTATCGCAAGCGCGATTGATTGCCATGAGGAAGTACCGGACCCGGCTTGACGGAGATCTCATGGAGCACCCAGGATTTGTGACCCAGTTTAGCTTTTCTAGTGCAGCTGGAGTGATCACATTCAACGCCCTCGAGTAACACTGGTAAATCACCTGAGAGTGAATCATAATTAGCCGCTGTGGTAAGAGTGGAACGCTTGCTGCAGGGAAGTGGAACATCACTTGGTGCGTGTGGATCATGAAAACATACGGAAAAATACATCCGCAAAAGTTCTGTGAGTTGGCTAGTATGCAGCAAAAAACAAGAAGACTTAGACGGTGGTATACCGCTCAGTACGTGGCAGAGGAAAATGGTAGATGCACAGGCCGATGACATATCCTATCCGGAGGAATTCGTTGTGTTAGAAGTTCAACAGGTGCGTGATAACCATCAATGAGGTACTTGAAGAGATAAGGTGGTCCGAAGTGCCGGCCGTGATGACTACTAGGAAATGCTTGGCCGCAGTGCACCAGCAGGTTAACAGAGTGTAATATGAAGTTTAGCTGGATGAATGAATTCTCACATTCAAAACTTCAAATTGGAGAGGACTGCCCAAGAAAAGTGTGTTTTGAACATAGCTGACAGGAACGCGATTCACAAATTAAATAAAGCGGGGATAATTGAGAGTAGAGAATATCATAAATGCCTAAGTCTACCTCGTCACACGAGGATTTCGAGGACGGGATGACGATGCTCGAAAATATTGTCTGGTCGCCCACAAGAAGAAGAAAGTGTCAGAAGTACGCCAGCACCTCGTTGCCACGCGACCACCACCAGTAGCATGGGGGGTAGGGATACTGTGAGGTCGTCCGTAGTTACGCAGGCTCGAATAGGTGACTTGTGGAGTAGAAGCCAAGCGCCTGAGTCCCTCCGCCAAAGACCGATCGCAGGAGGAATTAAGAACGGGGTTCAGGAGGATGGGAGATCAGATAGCTCAATTCGTGGACTTGTCAGTTAATCGACATATCAAACTGATGTTGCCTGAATATAGTGCCACGTTTAGCAGTTCAAGGGTCACTGCGCATTACATGTTGGGAAGTAACCGAAGAGGTGCTGGCGTTAAACAGGAGTACATGGGAGTGAAAGCTCCAGCAAATCCATGTGTGCTCAAAGGGATAAAGGGCTAACAGAATAAGTAGGACGAAGAGAGTGTCAATACAGGACATAATCGGGAAACACTCAGGGGAAAGAGCGAAAAGTACTACGATTTTAGAGTAGCGCTAGGCCAAGGTGCCAATGGACCTCTTAAAGATAACGACCGAAGTAAGGAACGTGGGGCATAGCTGACCAAACAATATGTGGTTCATCCGTTCTGCTGAGTTATCAATTGACTGGTAGTAGAACATGACATGGTACCAACGTTTTTCAGGAAGAAAGTCGTTCGAATGCCGGAATAGAGCGGAAATTTGGTTGGATAATAGTGCATAAAGCAAAATCATCCTGGAGAAGCAAGGCGGTGACGCGCTACTTTGCAGACTAGCAGCAGCAACATACCTGCCGATGAGGTAATCAAGTGGTTTGAGTAACCACAACGATGATCACAAGTGTAAGACATTCATCAAAGGTAAGGATAAAAAAACGAATGAACACAGTGCATACATCCGAGTAGCTGCTTTATAAGCCACACACGTTCGCGGCTAGTTTGAGTAGACCAACGGTCCACCGCCACTATTTGTAGGCAGGTGAAGTGGGCACTGATCGGGAAGAAGATCTAGATGGTGCACAAGATATGTGATGATGCACCAGTTGGCCTGACACTTAGCCCATGTTTGGAAGATAAGATCGAGGTGGACTTAATGGCAGATAGCGACCAGTAGTGGCGCCAAGGAAGATAGAACAAGCGGAAAAGCTACGCACCACGGCGGGGAAAACTGCCAGATAGAAATTCCCAAAAAGGCAGATTTTGCTTAAGTGGAGTCACCACGTGAAAAACATGCTCTATCCACTGGTTGAATTGCAGCAGAATTGAACTTCAGACACTCAGGCACCCAAACTAGTTGGTTTTGAATCGATGTTGGCCGAAAGTGCACAAATATTCGCGTCACACAGCGATCTGCAGTCGCAGGTGGATTCCGAATAAAACGACCAATCCACCGTCTGGAAGCCAAGCTTTGCCTAGCCACAACGTGGATGATTGTCAGTAATGCGACTGGCTACAGACCCTTGAGCAGGAAACGTAACATGGATGAAGTGGACACCGAAGACCTTCAGCTGCGCTTTAAGCGTGCTAGGAACGGCTTAGGAACGCGGATCATCAAACAGGTGGAAGCTGGCATATCTGGACCAAAGGTCCAAAGAGGGGCTTCGACTGGTTTCCTCGGTTGATTGGTTGAACAGGGAAAACAAAGCGGATGTCAAGCACTGCTCGCGGAGCTCAATGGCCTAGTGATCTTGGGGATAGCCGCCAAGTACTATGCGCCGAGTTCCACTTTCAGCTAGTTTAGCTCTACCTGTTGAGTCCAAACCAGGACGAAAAAGTCGGTTGTGGAGTGCAGAGATGAAAGAGAGAGAGCCACACCGAAACCCTCCAAATCGGCACCTTGTGTGCAAGGATCATAATCTTCGGACCGCATAAAAGTTCTAAAGAGTCCAGGCCGATTTTGTAAAGAGAGAGCAATGGTAGAATAGGAGAGCGGAATAGATTATGTAAGCCAAGCTATAACTGTTTTCGAAGGACATGTGTTACATCAGCAGCATGTGTCCTGGAGTAGAAGAAACAAACAGTAGCAGCAAAAAGACATACGTTCAATGTGAACAATACTCAAGGACGTGCCTAGAACACATTCAGGATAACGAGCGCAATTTATATATTGTAAATGACCTACGATATCATTGGGTTTCTTCGCATCATGAAGCTAACGATTGAAACGTTCAAGGAGCGTGCTAATCAATAACCGATAGAGTCAAGCATGAAGGCTATAGCCAACACAACTGACCATTGGACGATGGAAGGTTTGTTCTATTTAGCGAACACCGTGACCAAGTCATATTGGTGATCAAGAATAAAGTAAATAAAAGACGCGGTCAGTGGTATGAACAAAATAGTCAGATTTCATCCAACCATGACCTGGGGAGACGATCGATGAGATGCGGGTGGAGACAGGCCAGATGCAGCTCTGCGTGGTAACAATGATTAGGGCAGAAGCAGGATCCCATGTCCAAACATTGCACAATACGATACGTGGTAAATCACAAACTGCGTTTTGCGACCGCACAGTTTGATTGAGAAATAGTAAGAAACACTTTTTGATTTCCATGCCAGACAACCGTATGTTAATTCAAGAAAAATGCTGCGAATACAGCGGAAATTGTTTCACGAATGGTGTTCACGAGTGATAGTTTGAAAGAATACGACAGAGATGCATGGATGTTTGAATGGGGTGTGGGGAAGACAGTTTAATGCCACCAAAAGTGATGTTGGCTCAAATGCGGCAAAAATGCGATTTATGTCCTGCGGTTGGATTACGTGCAGAGACTGCGTATCTAGCTTCACTGATGGTACGAACGTTTGCGGATTTCGAGGGATGAGAATTCCAATGCAGTTTAAACCGCATTTCGCAAGTGTAGTGGGACCTGAGATAAAGTTAATTTCATGCACTACAAAACCCAAATATTCATTCAAAAATGTATCAGTAGATGCTTCCTTAGATTCAACTAAATGGATGGAACTATAGTGCAAATTCGCAGAACGAAACAGAAGTGCGTTAGTGGAAAAAATAGGGTTCACAAGAGAAGCTTTGAACAGCAGGATTATGTATCTTAAAGCAAAAATTAGGATACGCATTGATCAATGCAACACAAGTGGAATGCTGGAGATGCTTGCTGCCTACAGGTCGAAGCGTTGCAGTCAAAGCAGGTGGCAAGATTTAGCTAGGTAGACTTGGTCGAAAAGATGTAACTGGTTGTGTTTAATTTCCACGGCATGGACATAGACAAATAAATCATTCATAAGAGCGTAAGTAGCTGCATCGTTGAAATGACTTCAAAGGCAAGGGAGCTGAAGGGGAAATCGACCCCTTTATGGTTCACATGTGGTGAGTATTCAACCAGTGAATTCGATGGAATGAAAATAGTGTGCAATTTACTGAATAATGCAAAGGATAAAGGTACAATTTGCATAAAACACTTCCCAATGTAGCACTTCCAGGCGGTGACTTCGGAGAATGAACGCAGTAAAAGTGCCGAAAACTCGGAGACATTTCAACAAGCGCAAGGGCAAAGCGGAAATAGACGCATGCTACAAGCGAACGACAGCGCGGTGAAACCTAAGACGAGCTAACGCAACTGATGAGCTTTAGACCTTAATGCAGAGCTCGATCGGTCGTTATAGCAATTTAGTGGCAGCCAGAGAGAATGCAATAACTATTGGACGACACGCAGATCACGATGGAACTTATGATATGTTCGACAATATTTGTTTAACGGCTAAGCAGTGAATTTCTCTCTAACCAAATAAAGAAAAAGACGCTCTCTTCAACGCATAATACGGCAACTAATTCGATGTGACACCGAGTTGCCAAATGAGGTAGCGAATTCGACCACATCCAGATGGTATTTACGCAACAAGCGAGACCAAATAAATATGCTCGAGCAATCAGGAACCCCGAGCAGTCCACACAAAAGCCACTAGAAATAGAAGAAAATCAAAAGCAACCAGAAAATGGAAGGATACCAAAGAGGGTCCACGGCCACAATGAATGAACTGTATTTGCCATCAAGTTAGCATGACGAAAGCGATTTGGCCAAGACGAAACTAAAGCAAAAAGTTAAACTCCTTTTTCTTGTGGACAAGATCTAATGGTGGAAACTCATACCGGAAAAACTGATTATCCCCAAATAATCTTAAAACTTGTGAAGAACGGTAGCAAATGGACAAGTTGATATCAACAATGTTTCAGCTAGCAAGCGAAAACGATTTGTGCTTCAGGTTGTTGGGAGTGAATTGATGACTTAAGATAATATAAGCGAAAAAGCAAATGCATTTAAGTTGCCCACGAGTTCGAATATGGCAGATTCAGAAAAAAATTGATTTTGGAAAAGAAGGAAAGTCACAATTGACTAGGTGATGGACACAAAGTGGAAAGGTGGAATATTCATGTGCCCTCTGTTGTAAATAAGTGAAAGTCCATGTTATCCAACCAGACAGACACATAAAGGAGGAGTAAACATGTACCCAGTGGATAAAATCGCTCCGGGACTCACGCGCATCGGTGTCGCTGTCATCATCCTCGTCGGCGCCAGGTGCACCCTCCTGTTTTTTCTTGGTACGCTCCTCATCAACCAAAGAATCCAAGATGGCTTTCCACCGCTTGCCCAAAAGCATTTTGACAAGAAACTGCATCTGCAATCGAATACTGCTAAACAACTTGTCCAAATGACTGGACACAATCTTCTTATCCGGTTGCTTAGGGTTCTCGAACACTCGCCACAATTTGTCTTCATAGCCCAGCCGCTAAAATTGGGAATCCAAGTAAGGTGTGGTAAAGTGCGGCAGAACAGGTGATAAAGCACACATTAAAAAGGTTCGAAACGTGAACGAAGAAGAGAAAGGCGGAATAACATGGGAGCAGCACTACACATACACAATCGTCAAAATAAGGAGCGGAGTGACAGAATAGATGGAGATTAAAAAGATTGTTCACACACAATTAAGTCTTTGAGTGCGGTAGAGTTACAACTCAAGCAAGGGAGGCCCTTCGAACCACCTTTGTAGCCACTGCCCTAGTTGAATAAACCATATGCCACAGTAGGTTACAAAAGGGTAAGCTCTATAAAGAGCCGACGACGAACGTTAGGAAATGAGTGAAGAAACCCGTTATATGATGAATCGCGAGGGAAAGAACACATGGATCAAAGGTAAAATGCTATGGAAAAATAGCTTTGCGTAGGTGAAGCGGCATCTGAAGCCGATTGATGACCTACTAGTCATAGAGGACGCGGACGGACAGCCCCTAACCTCCAGCACCGAGTGTGCGTCCGCCTTGGTGGCGCACTTTGCTTCTGTGCTTGCAAATGACCACGTATCTGTACCGAGTTCGGTGTGTACTGCCATTACCGAATTTGACAGACTGGATTGTGATGTAGGAGAGACGGGCCAACATTGACGGTTTCAAGCGTGCTGAGTCTGACGGGCTCCAACCCCTGATGTTCAAACCATTATCGACCATGATCTCGCTGCCGGACAGCGGGTCGCTGTCCGAAAGTGCACTGCCGGCTGATAAAAAACACTCGGTGGTAGGACCGATTCCGAAAGGCGATGACACCATCAAAGTAGACAACTACAGACCAATCTGTTTAACGCCTATTTTAGCCATGGTTACCGAGAGGATCGTGAAGAAGAGTTTGCTACAGCTGTTCCAGTCGAAAGATTTTCTGACACCCGCACAGCATGGTTTCATGCCAAGCCGATCATGCATAACCAACTTGCTCGTGACGAGGCATGAATGGTTTCAGGCAGTGAACCAGAGGAAGTCTGTCGACGTGATCAACATCGGTTTCAGCAAAGCGTTGATAAAGTGAACCATGAGGTCACCTCCACTACAAACTGAGACTTTGTGGTGTTAGTGGATCACTGCACCAGTGGATCCAGGACTCCCTCGCTGGACGAAAGTGGAGAGTACAAGTCGATAGCCATCTGACCGAATGATATCCTTCGATCAGTGACGTACCCCAAAGCACGGTGCTTGGACCTACGGTGTTCCTGATTTACATCATGGACGTACCTCATCTTCTTCACTCGCCGTGTGCCTTGTTTGCAAACGACCTGAAGGTGTGGACAGTGATAAGCACTTCGATGAATGCGGTCCACTTCAGCAAGACCTCAATCGCCCTTCCGTGTGGTCTACAAAAGTTCGCCTCCCATTCAACCCATCTAGGTCGGTATTCATGAGTCAGGGGAAGGGTGGTGATGACCAAATCTACACTCTTGACGGACAAATGCCACATTCCACACATTTCCATAAGAGTCTAGGCTTGCTCCTACGTTGCGATTTGAAGTCGTGGACAAGACGAACAGACTACATCGAAATGGACTGCACATGCTCTGGGCGCTCAAACATGGCTTCTGTATCACGTCTGGGGAGGTTGCCACACCTTTTCTCCATCATCATCAGACCAACGCTACAGTACGGCTCGCCCGTCTATTGCTCGACTACTCGAGGCGAAACACAGAAGAATGAAGGGGTCCAAGACGTTGTTACTAGGCCCATTCCCAGTTTGTGGGGCATACCGCATGAGAGTCTGGGACTATACACCCTGCGCTAACGTCGGTTGCAAGTCGACCACACAATGACTTGCCGCATTCTGCATCCAGGTTATTTCCAGACACCAGCACAAGCTTGTGGTTCTATATTTGAAGCGAGTTCCCCATGCTCTGTATTATAAAGGGCAAATGGTAAATGTCTGGAACAGTTTCCTAGAGGATATAGTGGAAGCAAACTCAGTGCAGCAGTTCAAACGATTGTTGGATGTTCATTTCGCCAGTGTTGGTGCCGAGAACGATTACACATTGACATAGCACATTTTGAGTTCCAATTTACCGTGCGTTACATGTTTTCTTTTATAATATTATGTGAAAAGGTTAAAAACACTCAAAGGATTGATAAGTCACACATAGTTTGCTTGTTAATGTTTTTGATCATATTTCGATCGAGTATACAAATTCAAATTTCTACTTGTTCCTACAATGCAGTAGTCAGGACGATTAACCAACCAAAGGTGCACAATGCAACGCGAGTGCTGTTAAATCTTCCAATTTCTGTTCGAACACAAAAGAATTCAAACTTGGAATATTTCACTATGGAGTCGCATAAAGCAAGTGCTGTAGCTGTTCCTGTGGAAAAACTGTCTGATCCGGATCACGCAGAGATCGTCCAGATGCTCGAAGATTGCGAGCAGCTGCACTCACATCTGGATTGATTATTTAAATTGGTCCCATCACCTTGCACTTTCTCTACATGCACCAAGTGAAAAGCACTTACGTAAAGCCACTAGCTGGTCTCTCAAACTGGATAAAAAATAATACATCCACTGTACACTGCAATTGTGCTTCGCTGCTGCGTAACCACCACTAGCCGCGCACGGGCTGAGTATACCGCGAGGACGCTCCCTTTACGAGGATTCAAACCGGCGACCTTTTGATTGCAAGTCAGGCATGCAGACCACTCGGCCACCGGCCGACAAGTTGATAGGCTCTGTTAATTTGCCTGACTCTATGGCTGTTGTGGTGGTGGCTGAAACCTGGGGGCAACAACGGGCCGCAATTCAATAGTGCAGAATTCCGCGCTTTTAGCAATAAGTGGGATTTTCGGCATCAGCACATCAGCCCGTACCACAGCCAATCAAATGCGAAGGCCGAGTCAGCGGTGAAGAAGGCGAAGAAAGTGCTTACCAAAGCTAAGGAGACCCACGAGGATCCCTAAATAATGCTGTTGGAGCGAAGAAACACGCCATCTACCAAGATCGGAGTAAGTCCGGTGCAGCGAATATCCAGTCGTAGAACTGGAACGCTGCTACAGACCGCTACAATGCTACTACAGCCCGAGATAGCACCGGACGCTTCTGTGCACAACTGACTACGGAAGAGCATGGTAAAACAAAAGAAGTACTATGATTGTGGATCGAGATGCCTCCCATCTCTACCTGTAGAAGTATGGGTGAAAGCAATACCAGATTCTGGAGAACGTTGGCGGAGGGGAGTAATTGAGGGCCGCAGGGTTGAAAGTAACTACGAAGTCAGGATAAGGAGCAATATCATTAGACGGAATCGGATGCAAACTAGGAGAGCACTTAACGTACGGACTCCGCAAAGTGAAGGTTCGGCAATAGCAAGAAGAAAGGGTACCTGCAACCTCAGCCCGAGGCAGCAAGCGTACACGCAGCGGGAAACCGTACGGAAATTATTGAAACAACGTACTAAAAAAAGAAAATGGAATGGATGTAATGGTGGCTGAAACCTGGAGCGAAGGGAATCGCCGGCCTCAGTGCGGTCGATCAGGCGATCGAATGGGCGGGTGAGGTTTAGTAACAGAGCTAGTTGTACACAACCTAAGACGTGTGAATAGAACGCTTGTGTGCAGAGTCAGTGTGTTTTCTTTCTCTTGACGCGGCTGGGAGACCCAGGCACGCAATATGGTGTCAGAGGAGAAGAAGCTGACGCGCCGGACGCCGCTGGCTTTTGGTGGACAGCTGTCGATCCCACTGCCGACTGCTATATAGATGACGGAAAGCACGCTACCTGGTAAATGGAAACGTGGAAAGAGAACTGGATGGAATACGAAGTGTCGATCCAGTTGGATGAATAGCCAGATGGCCATATTCCGGTACGCTACCGGCCATGAAGTGGGCCGTACAATGGAGGCATGGAATTTCTGTGGACATGATGGAGTGATGGATCTCTCACAAATAATCGAGATTTGAGGATTATTGTGGTGGTCGACTAACGCTTCACGCTAATGGCAGCCGGTTAGTCGATGACAGTTCAGTGGACAATGAATGTGAACAAGCGACGAAGAGTGCCACAACAAAGTACTCAGACGACCTTAGAGAAAAAGAGTGCGCCTTTCCAAGGCCGTTAATACTAAAACGACCAGCATCATCATAGCCGGATCTAAGAACCACTGACAGCACACTACCCTGGGAAAATTGCATCGGAATAGAGTGCAGCACAACACACAGTGGCTTCAAAGGGTCGAACGGACCGACGCTGCAGCCGAAAGGAAATATTGTCATAAAAACGGAAATAAAGTAATGACATAGCAGTGTCAAAGAGACGAATGGGGATCCTCACCTGATGATACTGGAAGGAAGAAAAGCGCTATCTACCGATATCGGGATTTATTATTCTGCGTGTGCGCGCTACTGACGAGTTCCAATAGGGCGAAACGGCCGTCTAGCGCTTTCCTGGATGTGTGATGGCTGTCTGTCTGTGTCCAACTGCGACGAGACTACACAAAAACCTAATAAATCCCCCTACCAGTTACAAATAATCAGTGGTCACCTTAGCAGCATACTTGCCACCTCGGTTGGTGCTGGCTTGCAAAGGAAGTCGTTGCTCTGGGGGCCAGCCCTGTCCTCTGCATTTACATAACATGCAAGACAGTGGAAGATGAGCCGCGCTATATCGCAGTTAGGTATCAGACATGGCGGTCCGCTGCCGTCGCCAATGGCTAAGTGACCTAAGTCGGTGACTCGCAAGAGTAAGGTCGTGGGTTCGAATCCGGCAGGATTCGGCGGGTGCGCGCTACTGACGAGTCCAAATAGGACGAAACGGCCGTCTGGCGCTTTCCTGGATGTGTGGTGACTGTCTGTCTGTGTCCAACTGCGACGAATCTACACAAAAACATGCTACCTTTAACAATACGTGATTCGTGCGAATTTTGGCAGCTCGGCACTTTTTAACCAAAGTCACCTAACATAAAATGGGTGGTAGACGGGTCGCCCTCCCCAACCCGTGGTGCTCGAATCTCACGCTTAGCTATTGGGGCGTGAAGGTTTTGTCCATAGGTGAGTTTGGAGAGAGAGCCATCGAACTAATCTAAGCTACCAAGTGGGAGGGTTTTAAAACGGAGTTTGTAAGACCTCCAGTCCTTGACCAGTGTGGTATGAGTGTCTCTGCAAACAATTGGTAATTGACATAAAGTGCAGCGCAATAGTTCACGGATGCCAATGAAAATGCCAGGCTCTAGTTCAAAGGCGCAGCATGGGGGAGGGCAGTCCGCCCCAAGTAACATGTGACAGGGGGCGGCATTTTTAGCACCGTCGATTGTTCGGTATCAAAGATAAAGGACAAATATCCGGATAAGTTGATGGTTGAAGATTTTAATGTTACCCTTTATGACCAATAACACAATTGTGCCATGTGTCACAACTGTGCAAACGTTCTTCCCAGCGATCCCCTTGGAATCACTTTCACCACATTTACTTCAGTATGCCAAACGATCAATCATTTCTTCGGAAACTAATGTGCACTTTGCCCTGAGCCAATTGTGTGGCTTTCACGCGCCTATTCTGCCCTCAGTCCCAGTGAAGATTTTACCACCGCCCCAGGCGGCAAATATACTTGCTATGCCACTGCCCTAGTTATACGACGGTGTAGTTATACACTAGGCGGATTAGAGCAAAGCAAATCGTAGAAAGAACGTGAAAAATGCTTTCAGTTCTCGAATGCGCATACCATCCGCCAAAGCAACTGTCTTGAAGATCGGAACAGGATACACATGGTTTTTTCCCATTCTTTCCACCGATTGTCTTGGCCTGTGCTACCGCCGAACTCGCTTTGTTTGTCCATCCACCCGCATTCCTAGTACGCACGCAATGTGTTCATAATTCTAGGTGTGCCAGTCGGATGTGGCATCTACTCCGCAAATGTATAATTCTCTTGGCACCGTGAAACCGTGTTCACAAAGGCACGGATCCTAGTTACAACATGGTTTGGGTTTACGCACGGATGTAATAGGGACGTTTTTGTGAATATCTTCCTTCGGGGGGTTTCACTGTCATTACCAGTTCATGTGCATTCTCGGCCGCATAGTATCGGTGCAAATGCGGGGACCATACTGACCGTGGGTTGTTCATGAGAGAGGAAACAACAATTGTGGCCGTAAGCCACTAATACACAATCATGAATGAATACACGTGGAGCAATTGTACTCGGATGACAACAGAAGAAGTACCCCTAGGATCAATACACGTTTGTGGCGCATTATGAGTCCTCAAAGCTTCAGTTGTGTTAGTTCAGTAATGTGAGAGAGGAATGCGTTAAAGCAAGGTGAGGTGTCTAAACATCAGAGTGATCTGATCGAGCAAGTTGTGTTGTGTTACGGAATGACTGAGGTGTCAGCTTATACGCCGTAACGGCGCTTCGCTGCCGCGCGACCACCACCAGTCGCGCGCGGCCTGAGTATACCGCGAGGACGCCCACCTCTACGGAATGACTGAGAAGCTAGGTGAAGTCAGCCTTCACTTGCATGATTTAGCGTTTGCATGATCTTGTAACGTAAAGGTAACATTGACATGGGGGAAGTTAAGTGTTTCGGTTGGCTTCGCCTTTCAGAACACACGTGAGAGTGGGAACGGTCAGGTTAGCAAGGCCGAGCAGAATTTCGAACGCGCACGGAATATGCGAAAAGCAAGAAATACATTTTCCTTACATATAGGTGGGGTTTAGAGATTGGCACTTCCGAGCAGAAAAGAAGGCATGCTGAATCATATATTGTTTGAGCCAGGAGCTATTGACACATGTAGGTAATTGAGAATCGAGTAGATACTGCATTGTGTGAAAGGCCTCCAGATTTGTTCTAACTTTGATTAGGTTTTCACTTGTCAGCTTGCAGCTTATTCCATGAATGAGTATACTTTACCAGGAAGTAGTTGAAACGGATTGTTAGTTTTATCGTTGTGAGGGCAGTAGGTAACCCCTATTTCAGGTAGGACAGGTTGCTACAGCGTTCTTCACATAGCACATAGTGGCAGAGCCTCCGATGGTCATTGAGCGTACAACACCTGGATATGCGGGTTTTGGAGTATGGTAAGAGTGGTCGGAATGGCAGAGGCTGACTTCAAAGTCAACGGAAGCCAATTGAGACTGCGTGTCGCAAACCAGAACACATGGCGGGTACTCCAAAATCCGAAAATCAACTTCTAACCGTTGTGTCAAGCACTGCTCGTGGAGCGCAATGGTCTAGTGATTATGGCGATAACCGCCAAGCACTAAGTGCCGAGTTCCACTCCCAATTCAGACGATCTCTAGCTGATGAGCCCAAACCAGGACAAAACCGCCGGTTCTGGAGTGCATGGATGACAGAGAGCAATGCCAAAATAGCTGGGTATTTTCTAGGACTACTCTATCTGTTCTACGGGCAGCGATGCATGGCAGAAGGATAAATGGAACTTAATCCATATAAGTCAAGCGACCCCCATCGTCCTCGAGAGATGCGCCGATTTCCCAGCAAAGGTCCCGACAAAGTAGTACACATCGTGGAGCATCACATAATTGCTAAACACTGGAAAGACTACGTTATCAAATCAGTACTAGGGAGGGAAAGGAAAATGTCGGCTCATCACATGCGGTTAGGCAACATGATGGTACGGACTATATGGCCTAAATGTCCATATATATACACATATACACAATTGCAGTCCCTCGGATCGGAATGGAATAAGTTGCGCTCAGAGTATAGTGAACTTGCGCGTAGCAATCTAAACGCGTCTGGCACCCAAAAACAAAACGGTGAAGTGCGATCATACCTTCAGTGAGATGCAAATACAATCCGTATTTACTGGCACTGTGAACTAAATCTCGTGGGTCATTGGGCGCGTATTCTAGCATAACCCAAGATGCCACATATTAGTTGATAGTGAAGATTGGTCACTTCTGACGTGTAAGACAGTCTCCAGCACTAATAAGTGACTTGTGAGCAGACATCCCTTCTGGTGTGAACTAGACACTATTAATCTGATTTGAGAAAGGGACCCAAAAACAACGGACCAAAACGAATCGATTCAGCAAGAAGAGCCTATCAAACGAACAGTTTAGCTCGCGATGAAATGCAAGAAAGTCTAGAGGAAGCTGGGAGCCAACGTATGGAAAATAAGAAGATTGTGAGTCATACCTTCAGGAATGTTGAGTGCTACCCAAAAACTTAATAACTGCTGAAAAATTGCAATATTTCACAAGGCTATGTCGCTTACAATGGTCCAGCAGTGTAATAATCGAATCGGCATACCAGTCAAGTGATTCATCTCAATAAGCTGATGTACTGGTCGATGCACTCGATGGACACAACAGTCGGCCGACCAGAGGTTGATTACCGAATATTAGCCCGTCCACAGACAAGCCGACAGAAAAACGTTGCAACATCGAATTTGCCCTGTATTAGCCGACCCCCAAAAAGTAGTAAAAGAAAAACAAAATTGTCTCTCCACGATTTTGACGTCACCACTACCTGCTCTCACTTGATTAAGTTCAAGTGAAACCTGCTCTAGTATTGGTCAGCTATAACCGTAATGTTATAATCGTGGTTAATGGGACGTAGGGCCGTCAGAACAGACTTTCATCGCACCGGACAGTGTATTGACCAGATGTCAAGTCACATGAAACAGCCGACAATAGAGGGGGGTAAAGTGGAGGGTGTGTCAGACAGGCCGCTTTGCATAGTCAGGGGCCTCACGCATACAAACCACCGTAGAGAAGTGGGTGAAAGCATGGTTCACGGACAGGTAGGTGGGACGACGCTGTACTTTTAAGGCATAGGATCACCTGACATAACAATGTTTAAGGGCATATGATTCGCTACTGCCATCTGTCGCGAACGTCAAATGTGCAATATACCGAGAATTTTCGACAATAAAGTAACGTGTCCAGTTATAGGCACTTCAAATCCCCGTTTGGAATACCGTCCGTCACTAGCGGGTGGTGCTAAGGGGAGATAAGGGCAGTCATCATCATACACGTTAGCTAGAGGTGGGGAACACCTCAGCTACTGTGCCGCAGATAAGGGCAGTGGCGGGCTGCGAATTCCTGGGTGGATATACATGCGACTTTTTTCAAATTGCGCATAGCCTTTTTATAAGCCGACTCCCTTCTAGAAAAAAAACGAAAATTTGTACAAAAATCATCGACTTATGGTCGGTAATATACGGTAGTGTCACGATCATTAAAGCGGTAGAAATAATGGTCTCCTTTGATGACCCAGTTCAACGGACAACTGTAATTGAAAACTAGTTGAGCCAGAAGATGCACAAGTCAAAACAGCGATAAGCAGTTCGATTCGATAAGGAAGTAAGAACGTGTGAATGAACTGAACTGTGGAAATCCGTGTCCGATTGATTAAGTCTAACACTGGTCACGCGATGCAGTAGAGGCCAACCAGTCGGGGAACCAAAGTATGTATGTGCATCATTAGACACCGAGTCGACACAAACTGACCCCGAAGAGTAATACTGTCAACTGGTAGTATGCATTAGACTGATTAGCGCGCTGACTTGGTGTGTATGGGTGCGACAAAGCAGGCAAGATGTGTTAATACAGCGAATCAGTTGTGACAGGAAAAGACAGGACAGCATCTAAAGCGCTAGTATGCCGAAGATTGGTATAACAATGCAAAATGGATCTCAAAAACTCACTAAAAAGTATTAGATACTTCTGGTGAAACACTTCATATCTGCATTACCAATGGATCAGTTGAATAGGTCATTGTGTTTTCCAGAGCACAACGCAGTACACATGATGCAACGACAATGTGAACTCTAGTGGATAGCATCACTCAGGATGATTAAGCGATATGTGTAGAAATTGGACGTCACATACCAGGCTGTGTATTAGATCAGGGATATCCTGATCCTCTGCCTTGTAAATGTCCAAATCAAACTCTAATGACTCTCCATCATCGAGACCCAGTTCCTGCAGCATTTTCTTGTCTCGGAAGCGCAATCGCAGGTTGAAATTGGGATTACGAGTTTCCGCGTTATCCAGGGAGCGTACAAACCGATCCAACACTTCAGCTCGGTCCGTGGCGTTGTCATAATTGGGTTCCACTTCTACAGGTAACGTTTTCGGCTGCAATGGGGATGCATTTAACGAGTGTAGAAAAGCAATAAACGAGGGGAGTAAAGTCAAAATACAAACCAACGAAAGAAGCACTGATCATTTCGCGGATAAAGTAGCAATGGCAAAATGAAGCGCGGTACTCAGTAATGAAAAGAAGGTAACCAAATGTCCACAAGACACGATTGAGGAAGTGACGAACTGCCAAACGAAAAGCTTACATGACTCATTCGCAAGTGAAATGAGAAACGTGAGGACAAAAAAGTAAAACCTCAGATTTAGCGTCCAATCCGAAACAAAGGTTAAATAAACTCGACAGTGTGATTAGAGAATAATAAGAGGAGGTAATGTAGGAAAACGCATGTAATGCAGTGGTAAGGGTTCACCCATAAAGCAAAAGGGCTTTCGTTTGAGGGACTGCGGAAGCACAAAGGAGGAGTTTAGTGTAAGAAAAACACTCGGGAGACGAGTAAATAAAGCGATGGGAGACCCCTGCAGCAGCGAAGAACAAAAAAGTCTCAATCAGAAGTTTGTAATATCCACATGCGTCGCACAACCCTAAATTATGATTGATGAGACATGTGGATAGGAACCTAGATGGAGTATGCAACGATCGATAAATAAATCAGTTTAGAAAACCACAGCAAGATAGGTATGCTAACAGGCACTAAACAGAAATAGGTGCATGCCGAACTACAGTCAGCTTTGTATTGGACTGCGTGAAAACATCGCAGCAATACAGATAAAATAATGAGCGTACAAACGTTTCAGTGGAATGTGTCGTGACACGAGCTAACAAAATAGGGCCCTTGTTGTTGAAAAGTAGCGAACCAAAAGAGATGCGAATAAGGAATGCTCTATTCCAGGGAAAGTAATTTACAAAAACAAACAGGGGGAATGAAACCTGTTGAAGTGCACCTAAAAGAGCGCAAATTGCGCGTTAAGGCAAACACGATAAACGTTTGATTTCGTATCATCAAATTTGTAACGACACATGGATATCAGTTCCGACACGGTACAAGGAGCAAGGAGAGGGACGAAGTGGTATCGGCACCAAGTAGACAAACACTCAGGAACAATGTACCTTTACCACAACAACACGACACAATCACAGATAGAGTGTGAAAGAAGGGCGATTTCCGTGGGACAGATTAGTTATACTTTTCATGACCAGCATCAATCGAAAGTCATCGACCATTTATCGCCATACACGCCTTAAACCAGTGATGGAGGTAAGGAGGTGAGGAACATTCCTCCATGCAAAACCACGTGGGCCGGTGATCTTGCAATCTAAAGGTCACCAGTTCGAATCCGCGTAGGTGCGAGTGATCCCGTAATATCCCTAGTCGCCGCGCGACCTCTGATGGTTGTGCAACAGCGAGACGCCGGTACGGCGTTTTAGCGAACTGCTAATGCCTCTCGCTTCCAATACAGCTTCACCAACAGTAACTGATGGCAATGTTGTCAATGTGCATACAGGCCAAGTCAGATGACTGAAGTCGCCAAGTGGGATGTTAGTAAAAAGATCACCGAAGAGTTGAACTCGAGAGAAATCAGCTATGATAAGCAAAAAGCTGAAGCAGGAAATACACATTGTCTGTATTGCAAGTATCATGGTCATGTAAACCATCGAGCTCATGTTCACTAATTTCAAGCCTGCAGACCTGCGCGTCTCCGGCAAAAACCATGATGTCCGCGCGGCGCTATATAACAAGACCGGTGAGTTGACGGTAGGAATCATCTCTACATGGAGCCAGGCAGAAATCTGCAGAGGCATACGCTTCTGCCGCGAGCGAGTAGCGTCGAAAGGCTGTACAACCTGAGATATCCAGTCGAATCGCGCAGTCGGCTGTTAAGGGCGACATCCCATCGCAATGAGGCTGGACGTTGCCGTGGTGCGATGGTTTGCGTGCCTCAGAGATCCATTGAGCCATGTTGGGTGTTGCTTTCTTGCAACTTCAGATCCACTCATACCAGATTAGTCAATGGTTAGAGGCCAGACAAACTCAGCCTCCTGGTCCTCCAGGTTGGGGATTAGAATGAGAGTAGCTCCTTATTCCTTAAAACGGACTCCTTGTAGCCCGCCGTCAAACCCGCTGCCTTGCAGTCAGGTTTCTTGAACCATCTGCTTCGGTTGAGAACCCTCATCGTTCTTCTGTCTAGGGGTGGGCAAGCTGACCGTATCCTGCGCACGTCGGCTGGTAGTTTTCCGGAACGATACCCATCCATTAGTGGTAGCTCAGCTGGCATACATCTGTTGCATTTTTCTCCTCTTATGTATTGCGGCACAGTAGCTGTGTTTCCACCTCTAGCTAACGTGTATAATGACGAATAATGATGAAGTACGACACAGTAGGGCAGCGTTTTTTCTGCGCATACGTTTACGCAATAATCAAGTCGACATGACTAGCGGCCTCAAAAATCGAGTATCCAGATAAGCCATCTGGACTTCCAGGAAGTAAAACCAACGGTAGCTTCGTATTGGTGAGGGTTTTCAGATTGTGAGCAAGGATTGTATGTGATCTGATCTACATCAACGTCCGAAAGTGAGGTAGCTAGGCTGATTTGAAAAGATGATGCTAGCAAAAATCTGCTAATACAATCGGATGGCACACCTTAAGACGTGGAATCCTGATAAACTCGACAAAAAATCTCACCCAGAGAAGAACAAGCGGTGTGAATTCGAGGAGAAAAAGAGTACTAAGAATAGAGAGTGGGACAAATGTGGAATAAAGTAGACAGCTTGTGGTGCGGTAAGAAGCGGTTCAACGGGTCAGGACATCAGAACCCTGGTCGAGGGTAGAGCTACCAAGGAGCTCTCGGGTCTCCATCGATTTAAAAAGTTGCTGCTACTGGTACCACCTGTGAAACAGATGAGACTTATTCATATTTGCATTCACAAGGGAGATTTTTTTAAATCCGCAACTACCGATGGGACTAGTGGCGCACAGCTCTATTGCACAAGTGTTCCATCAAAGCCATGGAAAGAGAAAGTTTAAAGTAAGAAAATAAGACGGTTGCACGAAGTGTGGTGGTTCTTCTTGATGTTTCGCACAAACAGTTTTGAGATATCCTGCTCGTGATTGTTCAAACTGAGTGCTGGATAAAAAAGAAATGGAAGAACAGCATTGATGCTAATGGCCACTATTGCTAGCCACAGCATTCAAAGCTTCCAACCATTGTGAGCCCACGTCACGTGTCCTCCTACATGAGAGGCGAACGGACTCATCTGATCTGAGACACATGGCATTCTTTATGTTCCTCTTCCAGGTCAGCGGTTGTCTGTCGTGACACCTCTTCCACTCGCATCCATATGGGACAAATGATGTGCAATGAGGAAGGCGACGGGCAAGAATGGACGGCAAGTGGCTGACCTGAAGCAAACGGTGGTAGAGAATAATGCTTTGGATTGTTTCCTCAGAGAATTAGGCTGCTAACTTCCGTATTCGTTACATGGCGCTACCATGGCACACGAGCAAGGCTTAGCAGGCGCCGGTTGTCGAAACCTGCCAGTAGGTATAAATCTTCCGAGTGAACAGGACCGGTCTCGCAGTCATGCAACAGGAAGATGTGGACAGTGGCATTGTACGCTCTACCCTTGAATGTGAGACAGACATCGTGACGACGCCACAAGTGTATCAGATTACTGAATGCAAGGTGGGATTTAGCAATTCGTTGTGAGATTTCATCGACAACACTGGTATCAATCATGATGCGCTTCCCAGGATAAGCAAAGCTAGCAACTTGATTCCAGCCTGTACCTGAAACGGTCAGCAAAGGTACAGGTAAATGACAATGATGCGACAAAGCTCTACACTCAGTGAAGTAGTAGAAAGATCGTATTTGGATGCCTTCATAGCTAAACATTTTGCAGATGGCCTCTGGATCATCCGTAGTGAAACAATGTCATTGGCATAATCCAAATCTACGATACTGTTGCCGGGAATAGACCCAACAATGCAGCCTTAAGGTTTTTCCAGTGCTCGATGAAGGACATGACCAATAGTCAGACTGAACAGGGATGGTGAGAAAGGGCAACCTTGACGTACGCCGGTGGTAACAGCAAATGAAGATGAAAGCCTGCCATGAAACTTAACTTTGTCCGATTAGTGGATACACAGCTCCTTGGGGATTACGATAGAATTGTCGGGGAAATAGCTCCAAAGTAAACAGTTCCATGGGGAAAATCAGTCTATTGAATAAAAAGCGGCTAGAATGTACAAAACATCACGATTGTTGGTGGTGGGATGGGAATAAAAGCTGATCGATTGACAATCAACAAAACCATTCGCTAGACAATAAAGCATGGAAGGCTTATGGAGTGTTCCGATGAAAATGCAAATACGCTAGAACTTGCATAGTTGAGCATTGATGCGTGTAGACCAGTTCGTAGTTATTGATACTAAACCAGTGTGAAAAAATAGTGCCGGAGGATTTTTGAAAATACGCTGTTTACATCGACTACAGTAAGGGGAATAACAACCAAAGCGAAGGTAGCTACTCAAAACTGCTTTCATGAAGTCAACTGCCGAAGTGAGACGAATGGTGTGGTAACAAAAATAGACAAGTGACTAATGGGAGAGGTAGTGGCTCAAACAAGCACAATACTGCTCACCACCCCTGCGGTAGACTGATTAAAACAAGCACCGACTATGTCAGGAGGAACCGGTGTAGTGTAGGGAACACAGCCCCAAGTGGGTTTCAGTCTTTGATGGAAATCCGGCGTGAAAAATGAGGTTTACATTATCTCAATGAGAGACCGGAGCGGACAGACGGTAACCAATTCCGTCAGCAGACTAACATAATGGATGATCCCGAATATAAGAATAACTGCAGAACAGTATGTGATGAAAGGAACAGACAACTACGCATGAGAAACGCTACAAATGTCAGACAACCAAACCACAGCAACAACGAAACGAACAAATCGACCGGGAAAATTCCGAAAAAGCGTAACTATAAACGACAGGGAAATCCAGGGAACTACACGTCTATCTACATGGGGAGATAGGCGAACAAAGGATAGCGGCCGATACACAAGGGGAACAGCACGCTCACATACGCGCACACGCACGCAACTAGATGTTACTATGCAACGGAGACAGATGGAGAATGACATACAGCCCAAGGTCCCAAGAGTGCTTGTTTCCAATGACAAAAGACACGAACGAATGCGCGTACATACTGGCTGCAGAAAAGCACTGACGAACGAAAAGATGGACGGTCTAAATAAAGCAATATTTTCCGGCTAAAGTGTGGACAATTGGTCCAAACTATTCATGCGGACCAGTGGGTGTACCTCAGCACCTGTCCATTAAAAGTCGGTGAACGGGACAAATCCGGTTCTGCTAAAGCATGCAGAAAGTGATGGGGGGGGGGATAAAACGCTATCACTCTAAAGCCAAAAACAGAAGTAACATTCGGAAATGTGGGTGACTATCGATGGCCACACGTTGACACTTAGGGGTGGGGCAATCGGGTGAAGTAGTCTGGAACTATGGGAGTAGCCTCAATTACTTTGTGATGATGTCCACCAATCCAGTAAGAATATTTAAATGTATACCGAAGAAATAAATATGATGATTGTAAGCAGATGAAATAGTAGAAGTAAAACTTGGTATTTACGTCGGATAGGGAGAAAGTGAAATGTAACGAGACTAAATTAAACGCAACAAGGTAGGAATGCAACATACACAATGAAGTCATCAGACATAAAGAATAGAAGCCATAAGTGCCAGTTGACGGGAAACACAGCCAGGTGTCAGTAAGGACGGGCAGAGTGAAACATTCCGTCCAGCAAGAACAGATCATGATTAAAAGACCAGACGAAACGTAGCTCTCCGATGGGAATGACAATGAAAAGCGGCCACACAAGAAAAGATGAAGAATCAAGCTGGTGGACAATTGTACTGCCACTAAGCGGGAACACGGATGCAACTGATTGAGGTGGACAAGCGGATGAACGACAACGTACTAAGCTTAAACCCTGAAATGCACACGAAAAAGAAAATGGGGTAACGAACGAACAACAATGTACTTCATACCCATGAGTCATCGCCTTCCTGGTACCGCTGTTGCACGGGAAGGAGGGAGAGCGTGGGTTCATAAACACATGATAGAAACTCAGGGGACATTGTATGTATGGAGTTGACAACAGCTATGTGGGTCCGATAGATATCATGAACGAGGTGCGCACTAAGAGTACACTCTAAAAGGCCAGCAAAGTAAGGAAAAAACAAATGTCAAACTACGGTATGTAGCACTGCAAGACAGACAAAATGGCAACTTCGGAAAATGCAGTGCCGGTAGCAAAGATGATTGTAACCAATTAGATCAGAAATTATGGTTTATCCTGCGTTGTGCATCATCGGCGGAAACAATGAGGATGTTGCAGCCCTCATGAGATTACTCGAGTACATCGAGGAGATCAAAACAGGCAATAGAACGTGGCGTAGTCGTTGGCATGAGAAAGAGCAACCGATAGGAACAGAGTATGTGACAATGTTTGGAGTAAGCTAACTGTGAAGCGGACAACTTCAGCAAACTCAGAGCACCCACAAGTTGTGACACGAAAAGCTGTAGCGCAACGCAAAGTTTCATTTGAAAGTTGGCAACGGATAATGTTCAGAGTAACGAAACGTGGAACGACAGATGTTGATGGGCACATATGCATGTGATTAATGTTAATGATTTTTACATATACCAACAAAATCTGAAATTAAATCGGAAATATGCGATGACCTTAAGATACAAAAGAGGCGATCAGCTATCAACAAAATTAAGTACCTGAAACAAGGGATGAAAATAGAGTTCTTCAGCAGTGGGACGGAAGCAGGTCAACGGTTGGATGCACGCACTGATTACTTCTCGCAATGACGGATTCAATATTTTACCCATAATATCCGGCCCTTGTCCCGACATGGTTTTCGCGGCGACCTGTATGACGGTTTCACATTCATCGTACGGCGTGCGATTGGTCATGACCTCAAGCATCAGCATACCAAATGCGTAAATGTCCACCTTCTCATCGTACTTTTCATCAAATATCTCTGGAGCCATGAAACCCAAAGTACCTAAGAATAAGGACAGATGAGACGGAGGTACTAATCGCGGTTACATGTGATACGAAACAAAATAAGCTGATCACCGAGAGAGTGAGGATAAAGTGCGTCTGCGAAAAGGTAGGCTTCCTAGTGCAACAGACGATGCTTGGTGGGTAGAGTTAAAAGGACGACGAACAAAGGCGGCGATAAAACAGCATCTTAGCGACAAGTAACTATAGTTGTGCGTAATACCCACATATCCCAAAATATAGTGGAAGTTGAATAAAACAGGAGGCAAAGCCAGCGGGTCCCTCGAATGTTTCGGAGTGGACCAACAACCAATGAGTAGGCATTTACTTCAGACAATCAGGCATCGGAGTGCTAGGATTCAGGTGCCAGGGCTCATGTCATCATGGTAACGATGAGAAACAAAGGGGAAAACGAAAGATAAGGAAGTTGTGGAAAGACAAAATCAAACGGAAATTTGGTTATAAACAATAATAATAGATAAGTCCAGTAAAGCTTCCGAAGTTGACTACCTCTAGATCCTGACCATGTCTCCAAGTTCACCGAGTTTTCCCAGTGCTTGAACGTTCAACATGTAAACCATATTGATTCAAATTTTTTCTATGTTGACCACCTACGTATGCGGAACACTTTGGTCCAGTCCCTTAATTGAGCAACTTATGTCGATTTTACTGTATTCGCATTGGTGCATTGGGGTCACAAAATCTTACAAGACTGTAATGCAACCGCAGCACCTAAACACACAAGAGAACCGATAGGGTCTTCAACCAAAGCTTGACCGGAAAACGACAGTTGGTTGTATGAAACAATTTTACATAAATCGGCGCCAGCTCAGTTGCAGTTTCCGACCAAAAGGACAAGCTTAACTAACATGATTAATCAGTGTAGCATAAGTGGCGTTCAGGGTGCACCTGGACACCACTCGGTATAGATCAATGGGATGCAGGGATAAATAAACTAGTGCGCAAAATCACCATTTATGTTATGGGGGTAACAGCAGCATACCTTGGTTAGAGAGGGAATACGCACACTTTGTGGACAATAAGGCGGTCCAGAATCGGTGGTTAGTATTCGGTCAATGGTATACCAGTGAAGGAATCAAGCATGCGAGAAATATGCAAAGCTGTAGATAAGCTATAGCCTAGTGCAATATGAAACCAATCTTGAGCCCAAAGACGCCATGAGGACTGTAGACACCATCGCCACTGGCAGCACACGACAGTCCCGTGGAGGAAGCAATCGACGTCGTTGTGGCGTAGGATAGGGGGAAATCATGACCAATTTTTCATCAAATGAAGATTAACCAGGAATATTAGGTCTGAATAAGCGCCGAGTATGCGGCAACACGAGTCCAATCAATCAAGCATATTCGAAATATAGAGACAAGACCTGACATGCAGGAGTGCGCATAACAAGGATATTCAACATCAAACCCGACCACGAATATCAGCTGTCCTAAATTAGCTTGGGCATTTAGCTGACACCATAAATCTGATTTAACTCTGATCGTAGCAGAATAGACAAAAAGAATAGCGTCAACTCTCTACCCGACTATAGTTGACAAAACATGCATAGTGGTATGCGCTATCGGTGGGAAGATAATAACAGGAATTATTAAAAAAAAGTCGAAACAAGCAGTAGCAAATGACAGACAACGCAATCACAGCACCGTTAAGTTAGAATAAAGAGAAGTGCAAATACGAACAATTTCACCGGAGTTCAATGTCCTGCCCCTAAATGTCACCCGTGTATCATTTGTAGTTCAAGGATAGGGGGTTGAATAGAAGGACAAAGACGATCTGCAGTAAGAGTATGCAAAAGTGAAAAATGGGGCTTATGCATACATGGTTGGCGGCATCCGATTTCTGTATTTGCAACAGTCTATGAATAGACACAGAGCCACCAGAAAACATGTGGACTCAAAAGAAGGTACAGAAATAGTCAAAGAAAACACAACAAAACACATCATGGTTTCGTCAGAGGGCGAGATAATACCCGGTTGCCCAAGCCGAAGTATGGTGTTGACTTAGGGGACACCACCCCGAACTTTTCGCTGAATAGCCTGCCCGCAAGGCAGCGGAGCGAATTCGGGGAATCGCGCCCATTGGGAGCCAGTGACTGATTGCTCAGTTCATACGCCTTTCGTTTGTTCCTTTGTCAAACAGGGGCCCAATGCTCCCCAAAATTACAGCACAAATTTGCTGGAATACAATGCTTCGCCAGGATGAAGCAAGGGGCAGTGACTTTATTTAGTGGCGAGTCATATCCGCCACGTCACGGTGTTGTTAAACGGACATATGTGGCTTTTTATAGGAAGAACGCTTGCCAGGCGAAAACCCACCACGTCCTGGAACACTGCAGCCGAACCATTTGCTGGAACGGGAAAATCCCGAACCACCCAGCTGGCACCACGAGGAGGTAATTGGGCAAGCCAGCATCCGATTTCGGATTTGCTTGTCACTGTGGCCAGCCACAGGACGCCTGCGCCTACAGAGCGACCATGGGTGGCTTGCGCTGCACCACCCACAGCTCCAACCACACACCCCATATCCAGTGTAAACCCGAAGGAATAAGACCGAGAGGCATGTGGATGGGAGCCACGTTTCATCAACGGACCCGGCCCACACTCCTTCACAGGCAAACACAAGCACGCTGTATTTGGGGAATCAACCGCACATAAAGCGGTGGTTGGACCGTGGTCCGCTCCACACTGAATGCATGGAACCACTCTTCGAGCCTAGCACGGCCACAAGGACCGTGCACCCCGTCCCCTCCAGCAACGACCAACTGTCTCCTGGAGCCAGTATGGACGAGGTAGTGGGTAATAGACAGGTAGGCACCTTGTCAACATGCACATCAAGCGCAGCCACACCGGGGATATCAAGCAACAGTCAATCACCTGAAACAACAAGATGAAATAAAACAAATCCAATAATGCATACAGATACGGCGACATAACTCTTCGTTAAATTAGCACATGAAGTAAGTTGGTTAGCAACGAATCCGCGATACGGAAAAAATGTCCACAAGTCAGTTAAAAAGGCTATAAATGCAACAAAGTTACCGAATATAAGCGCAATCAGTGTAAGCAACGTGTGCAAGTTAATAGAAGATTATTCAGGTAAACAGAACGAACCAATTAAAGTGGAATGAAATTTATCCAACTTAAAAAAACCTCGTTTAAGTTGCAAGTTGGTTTAGCCCAACTGCGGGGAAGAAGCATCATGAATGCAACATCAGCCTAATGGATTGGCGGCATCCGTATCCGGATTTGCCTGTCACTGTGGCCTCCATGGGGACAGCCTCAGGACGCCTGCGCCTACAGGGACCATGGGTGATTTGCGCTGCATCGGCCACACACCCCATATCCGGTGTAAACCCGAAGGAATAACACCGAGAGGTATGTAGATGGGACATTATATATATATATATATATATATATATATATATATATGCTATTCAAGTCCGGTAAATTCAGCGACATCATATTCCGACTTTTGATCCATTCACGTTGTACTCTGCGTTCACCCACTTCGCCTAGCTCACTTCGAAGATTTATGTGACACTAATAATAATAATGTGTCAGCTGTACGCCGCAACGGCGCTTCGCTACTGCGCGACCACCACTAGTCGCTGAGTATACCGCGAGGACGCCCACCCCTAAGCGGATTCGAACCGGTGACCTTATGGTTGCAAACCAAACGTGCGTACCACTCGGCCACCGGCCGACACTGGTGACACCTGCATGTTATACCACAGTCACATAACCACATTCCTACGCCCCCCACGTCCACTCTCTCGCCCACCATCCATCAAAGCTTGCTGTCCGCATCTGCTGATTTCAGCAAGCAGGTGCCAAGTTGAATCGACCGCGCGTCAAACCATGGTCGCTTGTTTTGAGATCTTTACAAATAGAGAACAGGCCTCAAAATACCACTTTACACGCTGAAATAACTAAAGCACCACTTTCACGAGCATACTTAGTACTTGTTCTTGCGAACGCAATAGTTGCGACCAAAAACATGGACCGAATACCGACGCTATTCGGCACAAACGTGAACCATCGCCAGATAATCGAATCTCAAAATAGGCCTGGTAACGGTAGCCAACTCGCATGGCATCACAACAATTACATCCAATGACAAGGAAACACTTCCGACTAGAAGTGCGTCAACTACCTGTTGAAATGAAATATACCGGAGCTCACCGGTGCTAAAATGCCACAAAATAAGTGTCAATTTCCGAGTGTACATGAACTGTGACTAACCCCCAAACTAGGTGTGAGATTAACCATAATTTCGTCAACTACTATAAGGCTGTGTAGCTTGTGCTAATAAAGTTCCTTCCTTTTCTGCCAAACATCTCATACAAATACGAATCAAAACTGTACACCCTCAGATTAGAATCACGGAAGTGGAAATTCCGTTGCGTACAACTAGTAGACTGAACAGAGATACCGTGCTTGATGTTGTGGAGAGAAACATGCTATGGACCAATCACCAAGAAGGCGAGAGGCATAGTAAAGTCAGTTCATTTAATCGATCAACTATAATGCAAGAATAAAACCGCAGTATATCCAATTGAGTTGACCTAGGTATGAAAACGAGAGAAAAAACGGATACACGCAGAATGAACAGTGTTTCAGAATGGACGTAAATAAAAAGTGAACCAGAGGCGAAAGAGCCATAAAGGCAAGAATTCTATCCATTAGTGCACCTTATTCAGTAAGGCGGTGAGTAATAACTTGACTAAATTACTCGACAATTTCATCCGTCACACGAGCACAATAAGGGCCTCATCCATGTATCTAAAAGCTCAGTTCAGTTTGGTAATGTTAACCAACACGCCGAGGTGCAGTGGATTCAGCTGCCGTGATATACATTGCCAAGATAACAATCACAACTATTGGGTGTTGCCCGTTTGCCCGAGTCGGCTGTAAGCCTCAAGGTTGTTATCCCGGAATGATAACAAGCATCAACACGACTCAGTCATACCAGGAGTAT